TGGTAAAGGAAAGACAGGGTATGGGGGTTAAGCACTTATTTGGAGGTGCGGGGAAGTTTTCCTCTCTTCTCACCCCTTTTTGGAATATAGGGCTCCTCTCACTTCTGTGAACCCCGTGTCCCTGCTTCTTTCTTTGAGGGTGTTGAATGAGCGTAAGTTTTGGGGTAGGTGGGCTCCTGTACACTCTTTATTCTTTTGTTTCTGTTTGGGGGGTGGAGGTGGGAATTTAGTCCCCAGGCGGGACTAGGGAAGTTTTTACATTTTGGAGCTAGTTCCTGAGAGTCAAGGAGGAGAGGTGGAGGGAGGTCAGGTGTATGTATGTGCATATCTTCTTTTTTATTATTAAATAAACAACTTGGAGGGAGTTGAAGGAATGGTGCCTGCCTAACTGGCTCGTGACGGGGAATTCTGGGGAAAGTGACTTGCATAGGGCCAGTGTTCAGAGAATCAAGTACTGAAGACATGGCTGGCTCTGGGGTGGGGTGGGTGTGTGATCGCAGAGCTCACGTCATCCCCTTATCCCCACCCCTGCAAGGCGGGTATGTCTGCTGTCCAGCGGGGGAGCGGGGGAGCGGGGGAGCGGGGGAGCGGGGGAGTGGGGGAGGGCTGTCCCATGGCGTGACAGCCTGGAGGATGCAGCTCCCAGAATGTGTCTGAGTAAACAGGAAGGACAGGGGGCCCCACGCCCTTCAGGGTGAGCGTCCTCCCTGGGTCCTGTGCATTCTTGCAGGTTCTCCCCCACCTTGCTTTCCAGGACTAGCAGCTTGAACTAACAGTGGAGGTGGGGCCAGGGGCTGTGAGCCCAGAAAGGAGACACAGTGGAGAAGGGGGCAGTGTTTGGAGGGAAGGGGCACGTTGAGGAGCATCTCCTTAGCCCTAAACTGGAGGAAACTAAAACATGAGAGTCCAGTTGAGAGAAAAGGAGGAGCACGGGGCCAGCAGGAAAGGCTGTGTTTTCTAATTAGGAGGAAGGGGAACAGGGCAACGTGTGAGGGACCGAGTCTCACTCAGCCTCGGGGGGATCTCCATCAGCAGCTCCTGTCCAGCAGCACCATGGGCCTGGCCCTGCAGGAGCGTCCTGGGTCAGCGGGAGGGTGTGGGCTAGGCCTGGGCTCAATGCCCAGGTGGCTGGACAGGGGCTGCCCGGGCCATAAGCCTAGGGCTGAAAGCGGGAAGAACCTCACGTGTTCAGCCAGGCTCCCCCGCTTCCCCATTACTGTGTTTGGGGTGAAAACAGACCAAGTAACTATGGCAACCTGGAACCTAGGGCCCCCAGGAACTAGGCCTCTCCTCCCTCCAGAGGGCAGCCCTGGCTCCTCCGCCAGCACTTCCTGTCCCAAGGTCCCTCCAGCTGTTTCCAGCCTTATCCAGGCAGTGAGTGCAAGGAGAACAGGGATTTTGGAGGGAGAGCACCTGAGTTGGAGCCCCTGCTTTGCCTTTTGTTAGTGGGTGTCCTTGGTAGGTAACAAACACTCTGAGCCTTAGTTTCCTCATCTGTAAAATGGGGTACTCCTACCTACTTCTCAGGGTTGATGTGGGGAGGAAAGATGACGTGCAGGCTGCCTGGTCCTTAGTGGACACACTTTTCTCTCCTCCCCTGCTCCTTTCTCCCTCCATTTACATTGTCCTTTTCTCCTCAGTTCCGCTTTTCTCCCATCTGGGTCCATCACTGTTTCATTGTCCCATCGCTTTTTCTCTTTCCTGACCCCAGCTCAGGAAAGTGCTTAAAGTACTGGCATCTCAGACTGGGTGCTCTGTGGTGGGGCATACAGCTCCTCTGGCTTAGTGGCAAGGGACAGCTGGCACTGTGGTGTGAACCGAGAGTCAGACTCTTGGCCAAGGGCATGGGTGGTGGGAAGGACCAGGAGAGGCGTGGAGAGTGGGTGTGCTGTGGAGGGGGAAGGCAGGTCAGTCTGCCGCCCTTCAGGCCCACGTGGGTCTCCAGCTGCAGCCCCGTCGAAGGCCACCGCAGCATGCTGGCCATTGTCACTCCTGCACCTCCTGTTGGCCCCCTTCTGGCTCAGACCCTCTTTATCTTTCAGTTCTGCTGCTTTCCTTCCTCAGAGTCTGCCCTTCGTTCCTCTTATGACCCCCGACCCACTGTCTCTCCCTCTTCTTTTTCTCTAGACTTCTTTCCTGCCTTTCTTTGCCCTCTACCCACCACGAGTCATCACCTTCTCTTTCAGACCCTTTATTCTTTGTTCACCTGTTTGTTTCTCCCGGTTTTTGTATTTTTCCCTTCCTCCCCCTCTGCTTCACTGTCTGCTCCCTTCCTTTTTTCTGGGTCTTCTCATCTCCTCCTGCTGCGAACCCTGTGTGCACCACCCCGTTTCCATGGCCCTTTCCACTCCTTTGTCCACATTCCCTGTCCCCTTCCATGACTTCCTCTCTTCTCCCCGCCTCAGCCCTCTCCTCCTCCTTCTGCCCCCCCTTCTCCCTTCACCTCCCCACTCCGGTCCTCTGTCCTCTTCCCAGCTGTGGGGCCAGCACTGGAGAGCCTCACATGTTTGCCTCATCGTTCTGCTATGGCTTCTGGATATAGCACATCTGGATTCCGGGGCCCAGATGTGTGGTTGCTACAGCGACCTCGGTCCCTCTGGTAAATATGGGCGCCCACCCGCCCCAGAGCAGAGAACAAAATAATTGTGTGACTTTCTTTTGTCATGAGATAGAAATGTCCTCCCCCCTCCCTTTGCCCTACACCCATGTCTCCAGGCAAAGGAAGTTTTAAGGGTCCAAACCCTTCCTCCTGTGGCTCTCTTGCCCCCTTTTCAGCCCCGACCTCTTAGTTCTCTCCCATCTTTAATCTCAGGCTCAATCTTTTCTCTCCACATTCCCCTTCCTCACCATCTCCCTCCCCCCAGATCTCAATAATGGAGCGTTGCCCGCCCCTGACTTATACTTGGCAATTTCTTCTGAATCTACATAAAAACTGGATGTGGAAAGAAGTTTCAAAAATCCACATCACCCACCCTTTCTTCTCAAACAAGTCCATCGGAAGCCCCTTCATTTATTTCTTCCCTAAGTCTTCAGTCTCTCTGGGGCTGTTCTTGTGGGAGGGGAGGAATACAGGCTTTGAAATCAGAAAACCTGGGCTGAGGCCCACCTTCACCACCACTAGTGAAGTCCCCAGGACAAGTCCCTTAATATCTAAGAGCCTCTGTTTCCTCAGCACAAAGTGGGATTAATAACGTGCTGCGGTGTAGGAAGGGCTTTGTAAACGGAAGCCCAGTACAACTGTTTTCTATCTTCCCGAGTCTGGGACTGCTTCCTTGGATCGCAGCCCCTGGCCTCTCTTTGCTCCCTCTCCCCATCCTTCAGGCCCTTGCCCTCAGTTGCCCTTACTCTTCTGTGTCTTCCTTGACTCCTCCTTGGCTTTCCCTTTCCTTCCTTGCTGTACCTTTTATGCCTTATCCTCCTGAGGGTAGGACAGGAACTTGGAGCTTCATTCAAGGATGGAGGTCCAGAGCTGAAGACACCTGGACTGAGGATTCAGAGAACAGCCAGAGCATGCAGACGGCTCTTGCTAAGACCCCAGCCTTTCTTTCTGCCCATCGCCTGGGACACCTCAGTGAAGGCAAGCCGTCTCTGACCACTGGACTTCCCTGCCTTTGCCCTGGGGCTCCCTGCCAGACACTCTTGCCACACCCTCCTCTCCCAGTCATTTCACAGCTCACTATTGACAGGCATTTATTTATTTATTTTAGTTATAAAATTTTTGGCTGCGTTGTGTCTTCGTTGCTGCGCGCGGGCTTTCTCTAGTTGTGGAGAGCGCGGGCTACTCTTCGTTGCGGTGGGTGAGCTTCTCACTGCGGTGGCTTCTCTTGTGGTGGAGCGCGGGCTTCAGTAGTTGTGGCGCACGGGCTTAGTCGCTCCGCAGCATGCGGGATCTTCCTGGACCAGGGCTCGAACCCGTGTCCCCTGCAATGGCAGGCGGATTCTTAACCACTGTGCCACCAGGGAAGCCCTTGACAGGCGTTTATGAAGCACCTGCTCTATGCGAGGCCCAGTGCTTTTCTGATAAAATGCAAACATATATAAGACATAAGCTCCTCCAAGAGCCTGAAATCCAGGGCGTGGATGACATTTTGGGTAATGATTATCTCAGAACCTGGAATTATGTCTGTCAGGCCTCCAGTGGCTTCTTCTAATGCCCTGTGAGCTTGTGAATGTCTGGAGTCCCGCACCCTTCTCTGACTCTGGCATCCCGTCTCCCCTCGGAAGTGGACTTCCAAAACACCCCAGGGCCATCCTTTCAGCTCTTGCTTCTTTCTCTCCAGGGTCTTCTGGTCACTGTCTGGGCCAAGTATACCTGTGGTGACCATACTTCCTAAATAATAAAACCAAGGGACTTCTCTGGCGGTCCAGTGGTTAAGACTCCATGCTCCCACTGCAGGGGGTGTGGGTTCGATCCCGGGTTGGGGAACTAGGATCCCACATGCCATGTGGTGTGGCCAAAAAAATAAATAAAATAAAAATTTAAAAGTAAACAAAAAATAAATAAAACAAAGACAGGGTATAGGACCAAAAAGAAAAAAAAAAAAGGATATGGCCATTAGAATTACTAGAATCTGGGGTATCAGAGAATATCTGTTCTCTGCAGTCTGCTCTCTCCACATAATGCTGTTTCAGACCCTCCTTCGTCCTTTCATCTCCTTTCCCCCAACCCCTGCCTGGAGATCTGAGGGAAGCTGTTACCTATTCCAGGCTCTGGGGGCTTCGGGCCAAGGCAGAGGAAGGAAGCTGAGCCCAGCTCTATCCAAGAAGCTGATTTCATCCTCCCCATCAAAGCCACTAAAAAAAAAACAGCCACACACACACCCAGACACACGGACACACGGGGACACCCACGCGAGGGAACATGCAAGCCTTCGCCCTCAGCCAGTGGGAGTTCACAGGGCATAGGGCACAGCCAGGTGCTGGGCCAGCGCACCCTGACCCAGGATCACCACACCCACGACCCTGGGGACCTGACCAGGGTATGGACACCTGTGCCCCAACACAAGCGGCAGAATCGGGCACACACAGCCTCCTGCCCGTCCCTTTCACCCATGACCTGTGACTTGACCAAGCTACTCCTCAATGGTGAGGATTGTAGCTGGGTGGCAAGAACTTTATCCTCCGTGTGAAGCCTGGGATGGGGTCTCCCTCAGCCTGGATATTTCTCATCTGGCCAAAGTCTCCTTTTCAGCCCCTTGTCAGAGTGGCAAAGCACATGGGGAAATGAGACCAGAGAAGCAGCCCAGCAGCCTGATGTGGGTGTGTCTGCCACCCTGCCCTCTGGTCAGTCTTCCTGTCTCTGCCCGATATCAAAGTGACCTCTTCCTCCAGCCCATGCCTCTCTCCCTACCCCTGCTCCCCTGCAGCACCCAGACATTAGCCCTCTTCCACTTTCCAGAACGTCACCTCACCATTTGTGCCCCCACCCCCATATCTGCACCTGCCTTTTGCTCTTTCTCCATCCCTAAACCTCCTAACTTTCGGGCTTCCCTTCCCTGTCTCCCTTGAACCCCACCTTCTTTCCCAAGTCTCCTATGTCCTGGTCTTCAGCCAAGCCCTTGTCCAGCCAGTGCCCAAGCCTCATCCGTCATTTCTCCAGGAATTTGCTGAGGTGAGAGAATGAAAAGGGGTCCTTGATCCCGAGCCGAGAACCAGAGATTGAACAGTACAGATGGGGAGAGGCAGCACGGGGACAAGGCAAGAAAAGGGGAGAGTGCAGGTGGCAGCAATGGGGCCGGGCAGGGGCAGAGGTGGGGACAAGGGAAGGCCCCTGTTGGAGAGAGATGTAGGCTTGGGAGGGAGGTTTCCTCCTGCCACTCATCCCCTATGCTCCCTGCCCTGCCGGGAGATAATTGGTTGGGGGATGAAGGAGTGGGTACTGGGCAACAGACAGATGGGGCAAGATCCAAGCTGGAGCACTGTGGCAGCTGGGAAGAGGTGGGGAGGTGCAGGGGAGGGAGGAGGGAGAGGGCCTGGACATGGGAAAGGGTGTTGCTAGAGAGGAGAAAACATAGAACAGGGGAAACATGTGGAGAAATGGTGGGGGAAAAGGAGAAGTGGCATGAGGATGGGGCTGTCAAGTTGGACAGTAATTAGGGCGAGGAGGAAGGGTAAAAATGGGATAAGGAAAGGATGTGGGAGGTTGGACGAGGGCTGGAGGGGGTGAGATGAGGGACCAGTGAGAGGGGTGAGATTGTGGGACCAGTGATCCCAGATGGGGGGGGTCGGGATGACGGCGGGGGGAGAGGAGGGGTGGCATGTGATGACGTTGGGAGGGCCTGGCAGGGATGGGAGGGCGGGAGGACCTGCCCTATCTCCGCTCCCTTCCCTGACCTCATGCTGGTCCTCCCCTTCTCCTCCCCCTGCTCGCTGCAGACTCCCTCCTTCTCACTGTCGCAGCCCAGATCGACGGTCGGGTGGCGGCTCGGTGAGCCCCTGCTGCAGGGAACAAGCAAAGGGACATCCAGGAGCCCAGGGCTGCCAAGGGGCGCCCACCCACCCTGCCCCGAGAACCCCCTTCCCAAGGTCTAGGACAGAGCAGGTGCAGAGACACCGCAGCCGCTTGTTACTCAGGTAAGGAACGGCACTCTGGGAGAAGGAAGGAGGAGCCGGGAGAGGCGGGGACTTCGGTCCCCCCACCCCAGGTGAAGGTTGGCAGGAGAGCCTCCCAGGAGAGCCTCCCAGAGCGGGGACTTTCCGTCGGGGCAGAAGGAATAGGACCATGCGCTGGGGACTGGACTCCCTGTGGAGGGTGTGTCTGGGAGGACAAGTCAGTGTGGGTGTTGGTGAGGGGTGGGGGCGAGGCAGATGCTGGGGTTTGGACAGGACTAGGCATGGCACCAAGGTGGAGGTGGTTATCGGTGAGCCGGGGCTCTGGGCCCTGGAGTTGCTGGAGCTGGTGGCCAGCTGAACCTCAGGAGGAAAGTGCTGGTGGAACCCCAAGCGCTCTGGCTGGAACCGCTGAGCCGGAGCTCCAGGAAGGTGCCCTAGGGAGCTTCTTTGAGCACCCAGGTGGGGACTCCCCAGGTGGCAGCACGTGGACTGCAAGGCCCGGGAGGGAGTTCTGGGGGTCTGGAGCCTTTAGGAAGTGCTGAAATGAAGCAGAGTCAGGACTCTCAGGTCTGGGAAGGGCACGGAGTCTGCAGAGAGAATCCTAAAACTTGTTCTTGGCAGAGAGCTTTGCACCCATGACTCACGGTTCAGCGGGGCTGTGACGACTGAGAGATGCCTCCAGGGGCACAGGGGCTCCGTCTTCGCTCAATCCCCCTTCCAGGCTCTCCTGCTTCTGTTCGTCTGAACCTCCCCCCTACACGTGACACACCCTGGGTGGGACAGGCGGGACCCTTATCTCGCCTGGAAAGAATTTAATGGCTTGGAAACAACTGGAAATGGAACTGAGAGGAACTACTGGGAAACAACTCGGAAACATGGAAACACCGCAGCTGCTGTCTGTCGGCTTCCAATCCCCGCCCACTTCCCAGACCCTCGGCCCCTCCCCTCTTTCCCTGGCCCTGCCTCCAAAGCCCTGGGGACCCAGCACCTCAATTCCTCAACCTTCCTTTCCCTTCAGTCCTGGTCTCTCAGTGCGACCAGAACCCACCTTCTATCTCTCACTGCCCCCAAAACTCTTTCCCCCTGGGGGTCCGGAAGTCCTTTCTTTTAATTTTCCCATTTCTCTGGCCCATTAGCTCCCCAGAGTAAGGGGCATCTGGATCCTCCAACTCCCCCCTCTCCCGGTATCTCCTGGTCACCTGGTTCCAACCCAGTATCTGGAGCCCGCCCTCATCTCCCTCCTTCATCTCACAGTCCTGGAATCCTTCTACCTTCATTCCTCTTGTGCCATGAGGAACAGAGAAAAGCATGGGGATGGGGCCAAAATCCTCCACTTTTGGAACCTCCCTCACGGAAGCCAGCCCCTCTCCCCACTTCTTGGGACCTACAGTCCCTGATGAGCGAAGTGTCAAAGTTGGCCACGACATGAATAGCCTGCATGCTGAGTCATAGCTTTTGGGAAGATGCCCCCCACCCCCGTCCCTGCCAGCCCTCCAACGCTGGGGAGGATGCCGAGAAGATGAGGCACCCCAGATGCAGCGGTAGGGGAGGGTGATGAGGGGGAAACACAAGGGACACCCAAGTTTTCTGCTTTCCTAGTGCTGAGAGAGGAGCGGGATTCTTCCAAGACTTGGGAATGGGGAGCTGGGGGGTGGTGGAGACCCGGCCAGAGAGGGGTACTGGGAAGGAGGCTCTGGGGGTGTGGCCTGTGGGGGCAACTCCTCTCTTCTCAGACCAGCTTCACTGCTTTCCTGCTGCTTTCCTTCCTGCTGCAGAGATCCTGCCCCTTCCCCCCACCACGTGGGGAGAGATGCAGGATTTGATTGTTGGGGTAGGGAGACTGGACAGCTCCCAAAGGCCTCCAGGGGTGTGGGGCACCCTGTATCCTCTGCTCCCCACTGGAGAAGGGCCTCCTGTGTGGTTCCCCTCACTCCAACTAAGTTCTTTGACTCACATAGCTGCCCTCTGAGCCAGTGAGAAATCAGCTTTTTTTAGGCATCACCCAATGACTAGGTGTGGAGGAAATGTGAAGAGCAGATTATGTGTGTGTGCCTGCAAAGATGCAAGCTTCTTTGGATAAATACGAGTATACGTGTACAAGAAGTGTGTTCATATTTGTATTTGTGGAGGAGCGCACATGAGTCCATTTGTCTGCGTACGTGTATTTGTGTGTGCACGCACCCGGTGATGTGCACGGCCTTAGACACAGGGCAACAGGATTTGAAGGTAGGTCAGAGCCCACCTCATGCCCAAGGCTACACTCCAAGCTGAGAGAAGGGCTGAGGGGCCGAGGGAAGGGCAGCTCTGTGCCTGCCAGGTCTCTCTGCCCAGGTTTTGTCGGGCAGGGTGCCTCTCAGTGTGGAAACGCTCTGTCCCTTAGTCCAGCTCCCTTCCATCTCTCGTGGGGTGGTGGCGGGGTATGATGGCTGGTAGCCCCGGAAACTTCTTTCTCTCAGACTCAGAGGAGAATTTTAAGTGTAGGAAGCCAGGAAATGTGTGCGTGTTGCAAGGAGGTGCGGGTCACAGTCCCTTCCCTCCTCACCAGTCAGCATTCCCACCACTCACCCTGCCCTCCTTCCCACTCCAGCCTCTCTGGTCTGGAAGAACTGGGCACCTGCTAACACCTCTCCTTAACCCTTCGCCTGAACCTGCCCCCTGCACACTCCTCTGTTACCATAGCCCCCTCTCCTGGTTCACCCCGAGTGCCCCACTACCTTTCCTCTCTAACCCTTATCTCCCTGTGCCCCCCAATTCTTGCCTCAGTGGATTCCACAAACAAACACAACTTGGTAACCAGCACTGAGATCAAGAAACAGGATGTTCTTAGCACCGCAGAATTTCCCCACCATGCCCCTCTGGTCACTACTCCCCCGAGAGTGCCACACTTCTGACTTGTAACACTACCAGTTGACGATTAACGTTGTCTAGACTCAAACCTCACATAAATAGAACGTTTCAGCACATTCTCTTTTGTGTCTGACTGCCCTGCTCCACCCCATGTTAGGGAGACCCATCCATGTTGTTGCATATAGTTGTAGTTTGTTCTCGTTGCTTTACTTTATTCCACTGTGTGAACAAACCACACTTTATTTAATCCATTCTACCTATGTGAGACATTTGGGTAGTTCCCAATTTGAGGCTATCATGAGTAGTACTGCTGTGGTGGGTATATTCCTCGGAGTGGAAGTGCCAGGTCATAGGGTTGGCATATAGCTCTAGTAGAGTTGGTAGATTGTGCCAAATGGTTTTCCAAAGTGCTTGTACCATGCAGCCCTGCCAGGATCCACACCTGGCCTGCTCCCTGGTCAGCATCTGCCCCAGCTGCTCTTTCTAACCAACTTACAGCCCCAGACACTGTCCGTGGTCCTAGCCCTGACCTTGGTCCTGTCCTTGGTTCCAGCCCTGATGCTAGTCCTGGGCTTAAGTTGAGCTATGTAAATTGACTAAATATTTATATAGTCAATAAGTATTTATCGAGCACTTACTATGTGCCAGATGCAAGGATATAGCAGCCAAGAAAAGAAGCAGGTGCTATGCCTGCCCCCATGGACCTTACAGTCTAGCAGGCAAGATTGAGTGTGGGCAAGGAAGTAATAAAATAATCCCGCAAATAAATGTATGATTATAAATTGTCATAAATACTACAAATGGGAGTTACACAATGCTGTGATGTCACGTGATAGGGGAACCTGACCTGGGCAGGAAAGGTTTCCTGAGGAAGTGATGTGGGGTTGACACCTGAAGGATGAGGAAGCCAAGAAAAAAGGGAAGAGCATTCCACATAGAGGAAACCATAGATACAAAGGTCCGGGGCTGGGAAGAGTGTGGGGGACTTTAGGCCAGTGAGACTGGAGTGGAGAGAGGGAGGGAAGTCTTATGGGGGATGAGGTGGGAGAGGTCAGCAGAGGCCGAATGCTGCAGGGCTGTCTGTCAGTGTTTGAAGAGTATTCGGAAGGGCGACACTGAAGAATTTTAGGGGGAGAGGGACATTCTAGTTGCCTTCGCAAGATTATAAGGGGGCAAGGATGGAAGCAGAGCGACCAGCTAGGAGGCAACTGCAGTTGTCAAGCAAAAGGTAGATAGTAGCTTGGACTATAATGATGCTTAGAGGGAGAGATATAAGCAGATTAAAGAGATGTTTACAATAAAATATGGGTAAATATGATGAAATACAGTGGTGTTGAACAGGCTGTTGGGTTTCTGGCTCGTGAGGCTGGATGACTGAGGCTGGGGCCATGAGCTGCAGTAGAGAACACTGAGAGGGGATGCAGTACAGGAAGGATGAACGTTGAGTTCAGTTTTAGACATGTTGAATTTGAGGTGCCCAAGAGGAGAGGCCAAATAGGAGGTTGGATATATTGCTTGGAGTTAAGAGGAGAGAGTTTATATGTTGGGGTATAGTTTGGAAATTAAAGTCATGGGTCTGGATGAAGGTACCTGGGTGGACGACTACTGCAGTAGGTCTCAACTCTGGCTGCACATTGCAGTCACCTGGGGAGCTGTTAGAAATACTAAAGAAAATTCAGTCACTCTAGCCACATTTCAAGTGTTCGAGAGTCAGTGATCTCTCCTGTCTACCTTATTGACAGCACAGATACAGAATGCTCTAAAATGGAGGATGTGGTCAACAGTATCCAGTGATTTTGAGAGAGATCAAGCAAGGTGAAGACAAACGTCTTTTAGATTTTGTGACACTGAGATCATTGGGAGACCTTTGGGAGGGCTGTTTGGTAACCTTTGGGTTGAAAGGAGATCGGGAAGTCAGGTGGGAACAGATTGAGGCATGCATGGGATATAGGGAAATAGAAATAGCGAGTACAGATAAATCTTTTGACAACTATGGCCAGGAAGTGGAGAAGAAAAATATGTGGTGGTTGGAGGGAGTGTGAGATTGGGGAAAAAAGATTTTAAGTATATTTTTGTATATTTTGTGTATTAAGTATATTTTTGTGCATATGGTGAAATGCACATATCTTAAGTGTATAGCTCAATTAATTTTGATTATATATACATATGTTTAACCACCACCCAGTTCCAGGTACAAAATATTTCTAGTAATTCTATCCTATCTTGTATTAGCTCTGCCTGTTTTGAACCTCATATAAATAGCATCATTTACAACGTTCTTTTTTTGTGTATGGTTTCTTTTGCTTAGTGTTATGTGTGCGAAATTTGTCCATGTTGTTGCATGTAACAAGAGGGTGTTTTTTCATTTTGTTTGTTTGTTTATTTGTTTTGTTTTGGTTTTGGCCTCACCGTGCGCCTTGCAGATCTTCCTCGGCCAGGGACTGAACCTGGGGCTCAGCAGTGAAAGCGCTGAGTCCTAACCACTGTACAACCAGGGAAGTCCCAAGAGGGTGTTTTTGTATAGTATTCCATTTTATGACTATGCCCCAATTTATTTATCCATTCTACTATTAATGGACACTTGAGGTGCTTCCAGTTTGGGCTAATATGAAAAAAATCCCATGAACATTCTTGTACATGTCTTTTCGGGGATGTACGCAGTCGTTTCTGTTGGATATTTACCAACAAGTGGAATTGCTAAGTTATAGGCTGTATGCCTCAGTAGAAACTGCTTACTGGTTTTCCAAAGTGGTTGCACTAATTTCTTTCTTTTTTTCTTTTTTTTAAATAATATTTATTTATTTATTTATTTTTGGCTGCGTTGGGTCTTCATTGCTGTGCACAGGCTTTCTCTAGTTGTGGCGAGTGGGGGCTACTCTTCGTGTGGGGCACAGACTTCTCATTGTGGTGGCTTCTCTTGTTGCAGAGCATGGGCTCTAGGTGTGCGGGCTTCAGTAGTTGTGGCGCATGGGCTCCGTAGTTGTGGCTCACGGACTCTAGAGCACAGGCTCAGTGGTTGTGACGCACAGGCTCAGTTACTCCGCAGCATGTGGGATCTTCCCGGATCAGGACTTGAACCTGTGTCCCCTGAATTGGCAGGCAGATTCTTAACCACCGTGCCACCAGGGAAGTCCGGTTGCACTAATATCTGCTCCTGCTTGCAATAAATGAGAGTTCCAGTAGCCTCACATTCTTGCCAATATCGAGCAACAACAGTCCCTTTAATTTTAGCCGTGCTGGTGGATATTTAATGGCATCCTGTTGCGGTTTTCATTTGCCTTTCCTTGATTACTGGTTTTGTTCCACACATACATATGTTTATTGTTTATATATTAATTGGCCCTTTGGCTATATTCTTTACTGGAGAGCCTGTTTCTTTCGCCACTTTCAAAAACAGGTTGGGCTTCCCTGTTGGCGCAGTGGTTGAGAGTCCGCCTGCCGATGCAGGGGACACGGGTTCGTGCCCCGGTCCAGGAAGATCCCACATGCCTCGGAGCGGCTGGGCCCGTGAGCCATGGCCGCTGAGCCTGCGCGTCTGGAGCCTGTGCTCCTCAATGGGAGAGGCCACAACTGTGAGAGGCCTTTAGTTTAGATTTTAATCCTCTCTCTCACTCTCAATAACTGTGTCCTACTCTCCCCTTCATATATAATTTATATACATATATATTCATATTCTGACATATCTCACCTATTTTCTCCCACTCTGTAGCTTGCCTTCTTATTCTCTTAATGGTGTCTTTTGATGACCTCTATGGTTAAGTTTTGCGGTTAGGTTTTAAGAAATCCTTTTTTTTTTTTTTTTCATTTTGGCTGTGTTGGGTCTTTGCTGCTGCGCGCGGGCTTTCTCTAGTTGCGGTGAGCAGGGGCTACCTTCGTTGCGGTGCGCGGGCTTCTCGTTGCGTTGGCTTCTCTTTGTTGCGGAGCACGGGCTCTAGGTGCACAGGCTTCAGTAGTTGTGGCGTGTGGGCTCAGTAGTTGTGGCTCACGGTCTCTAGAGCGCAGGCTCAGTAGTTGTGGCACATGGGCTTCATTGCTCCGTGGCACGTGGGATCTTCCCGGACCGGGGCTCAAACTCGTGTTCCCTGCGTTGGCAGGCAGATTCTTAACCACTGTGCCACCAGGGAAGTCCCTATATATTCATTTTAAATTAATTTCTGTAGGTGGACATAAGGTAGAGATAGATTTTTTTTTCCCATGTGGATCTTCATTTGACCCAGGACCATTTATCACAAAGACAATTCATTCTCCTCTTAACTGCAGTGGTACCTTTTTCATTAATCAGGTGACCACATATGTGTAGGTCTGTTTCTGGACCCTATTCTGTTCTCTCTATCCTTGCACCTTTGTAATGTTTTGATATTTGATATTCAGTAATGTAAGTCCTGAGGAAGAGGGGTTTTTTTGTTTTTTGTTTTAAACAGGAGCTTTTTGAGCTCATATGGGAAGCTGACGGGAAGGATCTAGTTGAGAGTAAGGGGCTGAATAAAAGAGAGAGAGGATAATCTACACCTTAAGGTTTCTGAAAGACAATAGAAGCTGGGACCCAGGTGCTTGTGGAAGGATTAGTCTTTTATATTCATCCACTGATCCATTCAACAAAAATGTGTTGAATAGCTCCCACGTGCCAGGCACAGGCGTACAGCAGTGCCAGGACAGATGAGGTCCCTGTTCTTAAGGAGTTCCCATCCTAGCAGTGGGAGAAAGATAAACAAGTAGCCACACAAACAGTTGATTCAGGCAGCAGTAGATGCCTTAAGAACATAAGCAGAGGACCCTGTGCTGGGGAGTGATGAAAGACTGCTCCAACGGGGCATCAAGGAAGACCTCTAGGGCTCAATGACATGTGAGTTAAGATCTGAACAACAAGGAGACAGCCTCCGAGAGCTCAGTGAAGAACGTCCCAGACAGAGGAGACATAGAGTGCAAAGGCCCTTTAGTCTAATGTAATCTTGTAGTGTCTGTGGAACAAGCAAAACAGACCAGTGTGGGTGGAGGGGGTGGAGCAGGGTGACCAAATGGTATCAGAAAACGAGGTAGAGACAGATCTGCCCAAGGAGGGTATCCGTTAAGGTTGGGCTGAACGTGGATTTTCCAACATGTGAGTTGGGTAGATTAGTCGTGGGTGGTGGGACTATGGGTGTGTGTGTTGGGGAAGGAGGGCATTCATCTTGTCTCCTTCTCTGCGAAGCTGCTCTCATATGTGCCTTCTCTCCCTGCAGCCTCCTGAATGATGCCAGCCCAAGGTTCCCTAACCTCCAGCCTGGCCCTCCTGGTGCTGCTGGGCACAGTCAGAGCAGGGCCTTTCTCTTCACGGTCCAATGTGACACTCCCAGCCCCACGGCCTCCTCCCCAGCCAGGAGGCCGCACAGAACAGCAAGGAGGGGCAGGCCCTTCTTCTCAGCTTTATGAGCACACCGTGGAAGGAGGGGAGAAGCAGGTGGTGTTCACCCACCGCATTAACCTGCCCAATTCAGGTAGCTGTGGCTGTCCCCCAGGCACTGAGCCCCCCGTCCCTGCTTCAGAGGTGCAGGCCCTGAGGGTCCGGCTGGAGATCCTGGAGGAGCTGGTGAAGGGGCTCAAGGAACAGTGCACTGGGGGATGTTGTCCTGCTGCTGCCCAGGCTGGCACAGGTGAGCGGATGATCCCAGGAAGGGGCACAGAAAAAGAGGAAGGTGGAGAAGTGGGTTAGGGTTGGGTGGGCATTGCTAGTCCATAAAGGACCTCGGTATGAGTTAGAAAAAGGCATGCCTGCCTCCCCCTTGGGGGTGGTGAGTGCAGCCCGGGAACAATTCTGAGATAGGAGCCACGTGACTAGATGTCAGCCCTCTCCTCCCCAGCATATGTTAGGGCACTGGGAGGCCACATATACTGACAAGTTGCAGCTGGAAACTAAGATGGCCTTAGGAAATGAGGCTGGCTCTGCTGGAGAAGCTGACTCAGAGGAGCACAATACAGGGTCAGCCGCTCCCGCAGAGAGACTGAGGCCCACCTCTTGCTCTTACTCCAGGCCAGACGGACGTGCGGAGCCTCTGCAGTCTCCATGGCGTGTTTGACCTGAGCCGCTGTGCCTGCTCCTGCGAGCCAGGCTGGGGTGGGCCCACCTGCTCAGACCCCACAGATGCCGCGGCGCCCCCCTCCTCTCCCCCCTCAGCTTCCCGGTCCTGCCCAGATGACTGCAATGATCAGGGTCGCTGCGTCCGTGGTCGCTGCGTGTGCTTCCCTGGCTACACCGGCCCCAGCTGTAGCTGGCCCTCCTGCCCGGGGGACTGCCACGGCCGCGGGCGCTGCGTGCAGGGCGTGTGCGTGTGCCGCGCGGGCTTCTCCGGGGCCGACTGCAGCCTGCGCTCCTGCCCTCGGGGCTGCAGCCAGAGGGGACGCTGCGAGAACGGGCGCTGCGTGTGCAACCCGGGCTACACTGGCGAGGACTGTGGGGTGAGGAGCTGCCCCCGAGGTTGCAGCCAGAAGGGGCGCTGCGAGGACGGGCGCTGCGTCTGTGACCCTGGCTACGCTGGCGAGGACTGCGGCTCTCGGAGCTGCCCGTGGGACTGTGGTGAGGGCGGGCGCTGTGTGGACGGCCGCTGCGTGTGCTGGCCCGGGTACGCGGGCGAGGACTGCAGCACGCGGACCTGCCCCCGCGACTGTCGGGGCCGAGGGCGCTGCGAGGAGGGCGAATGCATCTGCGACCCAGGCTACAGCGGGGACGATTGCGGAGTGCGCAGCTGCCCGGGCGACTGCAACCAAAGGGGCCGCTGCGAGGACGGCCGCTGCGTGTGCTGGCCTGGGTACTCGGGGCCCGACTGCGGCGCCCGCGCTTGCCCGCGCGACTGTCGTGGCCACGGGCGCTGCGAGAACGGCGTGTGCGTGTGCAACGCGGGCTACAGCGGCGAGGACTGCGGCGTGCGCAGCTGTCCCGGGGACTGTCGCGGCCGGGGTCGTTGCGAGAGCGGCCGCTGCGTGTGTTGGCCCGGGTACACAGGCCGGGACTGCGGCACGCGCGCCTGCCCCGGCGACTGTCGCGGGCGCTGCGTGGACGGCCGCTGCGTGTGTAACCCGGGCTTCACAGGCGAGGACTGCGGGAGCCGACGGTGTCCCGGGGACTGCCGTGGTCGCGGCCGCTGCGAGGATGGCGTGTGCTTGTGCGACGTGGGCTACGAGGGCGAAGACTGCGGCGTGCGCAGCTGCCCCAGGGGTTGCCAAGGTCGCGGCCAGTGTCTGGAGGGGCGATGCGTGTGCGACGACGGCTACGAGGGTGAAGACTGCGGCGTGAGACGGTGCACGCGCGACTGCAGCCAGCGCGGCGTGTGCCAGGATGGTGTGTGCGCCTGTTGGGAGGGCTACACGGGCGAGGACTGCAGCCTCCGTACCTGCCCCTCCAACTGTCACCGGCGCGGCCGCTGTGAGGACGGGCGCTGCGTGTGCGACTCTGGCTACACCGGCCCCTACTGCGCCACCCGAACCTGCCCGGCGGACTGCCGGGGCCGTGGACGTTGTGTGCAGGGCGTGTGCGTGTGCCACGCGGGCTATAGCGGCGAGGACTGCGGGCAGGAAGGGCCTCCCGCCAGCGCCTGCCTTGGGGGCTGCGGGCCTCGGGAACTGTGCCGCGCAGGCCAGTGTGTATGCGTCGAGGGCTTCCGAGGCCCCGACTGCGCCATCCAGACGTGCCCCGGGGACTGCCGCGGTCGGGGAGAGTGTCGTGAGGGCAGCTGCGTCTGCCAAGATGGCTATGCAGGGGAGGACTGCGGGGAAGGTGAGTGGGCAGCCTTTCCCAGTGGGAAAAGGGACTGGAAAACTGGAGCCAGTGGGAAAGCCTGATTCTGAGGCCTAGGAGCCCAGAGAACTGGAGGAAGAGTGAAGGGGGGGGCATATATTGGGGTGGGGGGCGGGGCAGTCAGGGGAGCCAGGGAGCCACTGTCCACCAGGGGCTGCAGAACCGTGGGGGCACGCCTGCAGGCGGGACCTGCCTTCAGATCTCTGATGAGCAGATTGGGTGCCCCTTTAGTTGCTTTTAGGGAGATTTTGTGTTCCTGGAGATGCGGGGCAGTAAATGAGACCCAAGGTCTGTTCAGGCCGCTGCCGGCTTTGTCCCACCCCCAGAGAGGAGTCAGAGCTTGAGTGGATCTCTCAGAGTGGCCCTGAGTAGGAGGGGCCTGTGATGGTGGAGTTTGGGGTGCCTTGGGCTAAGCAGCTTCTCACATCCTATTCTCCTGGACAGAGGTGCCAGCCGTTGAGGGCCTGAGGATGCACCTCCTGGAGGAGACGATGGTTCGGACAGAGTGGACCCGGGCTCCTGGCAATGTGGATGCCTACGAAATTCAGTTCATCCCCACGGTGAGAGCCAAGCTCCAAGGGGGGGCTGAGTGGGCAGGACTGCGGGGAGGGGGCTCCCTCCTGCTCACCTCAAGCAGGAGTCCCAGGTAACCGGTGGTTGCACGCAGCTGGCTGATTCCCGAAGCTGTTCCAAAGGCCTGCTCGTTCTGCCCCACACCCGCTGCAGAAGCCTCTGCAGCATTGGCCCACTGCTGCTGGAACATCTCTGGTGACCTTGAGCTCAGACTTCCTGAGGCTGCCGACTCCACTTTTGTTCATCACTGTAGTCAGTTCTTTTTGTTATTGCTGGATCCAAATCTACCCCATTCTAACATCCATCCATTGGCCCTAGCTGGGCCTTCGCCAGCCGTCAGAACGCGATTTTTCTTTTCCTGTGTCTTACACCATAGGCTTCCAAGTATTTGGAGACATCAGCCATCGCGTCACCCTTCATTCCCTCCAGGCCAAATCCACTGGTTTCTTCTCCCCTTTTCTTAATGCTTTGTTCTCTGAATCCTTCACTTTTTGGTTTTCCTCCTCTAATACCTCCTGCTTTTTGCATGTGCCCCACCCCATCAAAATGTGGGAGCAAAGAGGACCCCAGTTGTTCCCCCGGCTCACTCTGGCTACCCTGGCACTTTTCTCAGAGTTGACATATATGAACTTGTGGTCAGTTCATAACTGACAAACTGTCAGTTATTTTGATCACATTTGATTTTTTTAAGTAACTTTTAATGATAAAAGTCATATAGGCTCAGTGTAGAAACTTTAAAAAAATATAAACAAGGAAAAAAGAAAGAAGGAAGGAAGAAAAGAAAGAAGGAAGAAAGAAGACATTCAACTACATACTCTTTTTTTTTTTTTTTTTTTTTGCGGTACGCGGGCCTCTCACTGTTGTGGCATCTCCCGTTGCGGACGGAGCACAGGGTCCGGACGCACAGGCTCAACGGCCATGGCTTACGGGCCCAGCCGCTCCGCGGCGTGTGGGATCTTCCCGGACCAGGGCACGAACCCATGTCCCCTGCATCGGCAGGCAGACTCTCAACCACTGCGCCACCAGGGAAGCCCCATACTCTTTTTTTAAGCCTATATATAAGCCTTTGCATTTGACTCTCTTCAGTGTTTCATTTTTGCTTTGGGCCAACCTGTCTAGGCTGTTGCAATTATTTGAGTCTGTGAGCTGGTTCCCCTACCTCCGTGTCATCGGTGCATTGCAAAACCTCCTTTCTCTGTCTCCTTCCAACTCACTCTTAAAATATTGTAAAATATTTGGGGACACCCTAAGGACAAAGACTGTGGCCTCTCATTAGAGATTTCCCTTTATGCAGATTGGGCCTTTATGATGTGTTTGGTCTCCTAGTTTCAAATCATCTGACATTTCTACTGTCCAAATGTTTTCCTGCATCATCCCACAAATGCCATTGTTGGGTAGGCCATGTCATTCTCATCTCTACCCAGTCAGGACTCTGGAAAAATAAATAAGTCCCAGGGCCTAAACCTAGGAAGCCTCTAGGACAGAAGGGACAGCTCAGAGGTGCTGGCTGTCACCCCCACCCCAACTGGCCTTGTCATTCTAAGTCTTCTTATTATCCCCTCAAGCCCAGAGCCCTGCCGTGTTCTGTCTCTCCTTACCCCCTGGTAGGAGCAGAGGCAGAAATCCCTACTTTGCTGCACAACCAAGAGAGCTTGGATTTTTCTTCTGTTTAAAAAAAAATTATTTTCAGTTATAAAAATAATGTAATCACAAGACAAGAATTTGGCAACTAGAGAAAAAAAACAATCGTTGGCTGTTTCACACTAAAACAAGCACTGTTAACATTGTACCTCCTTTCCCTGCATACGTGGCATTGTTCCTCTGACTCAGTGGTTCTCCAAGTGTGTTCCCTGGACCTACAGCATTAGCATCACCTGGAGCACTAGACATGCTAATTGTCAGAATCCACCCCCAGATCTACTGAGTCAGAAGCTCTAGGGGGCAGAGCCCAGTAACCTGTGTTGTAACAAGCCCTCCAGGTGATTCTGGTGCACCCCAAGCCCAAGGACCACTAACTTAAGAAATGTTGCTATTTTGCAAAAGGCAAGGTCTTCTATGAATGTGAGAGAAAGCATGAAGAAACTGAGGGAGGTGAACCCCCGAACAGAAAGACGTTCAAGTATTCCCTGTCTGGGTGTATTCTGCAGCCTGGAAACGGGCTAAGCCACGTTTTCATTGGGACACAGGCCCTTGCAGCCTGAGAAAAGTTTGTTTGGTCTGGTCTGAAAAGCAGGGTGAGGATGAGGTGAGCTCCAGGGACCAGCCAAAGTGGAGTCGCCCACCTGGGGCCATGAGGTTGATATTGAGAATAGAGTTAGAAGCTTGCCAAGGACATCAGTGAAGCGGCCAAAACTCTCACCAAGGGGCAGAACCAGCTGCTAGCATCTGGCTAGAGAGCCTGCATCAGACCAGACAGATGGTGCTGAGAGATGTGACTTAGACTGACAGTGGGACTTTTCAGGGGACTGTTCCCAAATGGGTCTCAGGAGGGACTACAAAGCGTTTAAAAGGTTCATGTAGGTGGTCTGAAGGGAGAAGGAGAACTCGGGGGGTGGGCTTCTCTTGCTGAAAGGACCAGACATCATCAGGGAGTACTCAAAGCGTGTGTGTGTGTGTGTGTGTGTATTCGTGTGTGTGTGTATGTGTATTCGTGTGTGTGTGTATGTGTATTCGTGTGTGTGTGCGTGTGTGTGTGTATTCGTGTGTGTGTATGTGTATTCGTGTGTGTGTATGTGTATTCGTGTGTGTGTGTGTGTGTGTGTGTGTGTGTGTGTGTGTGTTGGGGGAATAAGGGGACAGAGAATACGTTCTGGGAAGGAGGAGAAGCACACAGGTCTTGAGCTGACACCAGTCCCAGGCCTCCCAGGATGGGGTACCCTAGGGCAGAGTGAGCAGGAGCGGGCTGGGGATCCTGTGTGCCCAGGAAAGCTTGACTTCATCCTGAACCCAGAAGGCTCTACGTGGACTCTCGTCTGGTTTTATGCTTTGGTATTTACGATGCGGATTTTCCCACAATTCTCTTGGTTTGGGAGAGCACCTTCTGAAATTTCCAATCCTCCTTGGCTGAACGGAGGTGTCCCCATAGCGGCCAACATAGCTAAACAGAACAGAACGTCTTTATTAGCTGTCCTAGATAGACAGCCCAGCGAAATGCTGGGCTGTTAGACTACTCACAAATGTCCATTCCTCCTGTTTCCCCAGAAGAAGAGTCCTGGCATGTGTCAGAATTCTGGCAGAGAGCTGATGACCAGGCTAAAAAGGTAGTGCCCATGAGAGGGGACTCTGAGGTCACACTGCCTGGGTTTAAATCCCTGCCACTTTCTTGGTGTTGGTGACCTTGGGCAAGCCACTTAATCCTTCTGTACCTCAGTTTCCTCATCTGTCCGTTGGGAATAATACGACCTACCTCATCAGATTCTTAAGCAGATTAAGTGAGTTCATATCTATAAATCGCCTTGAATAGTACGTGGCATGGAGTAGGTGTTCTACATGTGTTTGCTGATACCACCCACGCGCCCCAGCTGTATAGGGCCAAGTTCTACACAGTCGCATGTTGACCCTGCCTGGAACTGGAGAAAGGATAAGGGGGCTTGAGCGGCAGGGGTGAGAGTGGCAGCCCTGATCCACCTGGTGCTTTCTCTCTTGCAGACAGAGGGGCCGAGCCCCCCATTCACAGCACGGGTGCCCAGCTCTGCCTCAGCCTATGACCAGAGAGGACTGGCCCCCGGTCAGGAGTACCAGGTCACTGTCCGTGCCCTTCGAGGGACTAGCTGGGGCCCTCCTGCCTCCAAGACCATCACCACCAGTGAGAGCTGGGGCTGTGGGGTGGGGTCCTGGGTGGAGATCTGGATTTGAGAGGGGTGGCTGGGAATATGCCCTCCAAGAGGGCAGAGGGGAGGGATTGGCTGGGGGCAAGGCTCATAGAAGGAAAGCTGGTGACTGCAGATCCAGACTCCCACCTGATCCCTCCTCTCTCTGACCTGGCTAGTGATCGATGGCCCCCAGGACCTCCGAGTGGTGGCTGTGACGCCAACCACGCTGGAGCTCAACTGGCTGCGCCCCCAGGCCGAGGTGGACCAGTTCGTGGTGTCCTACGTCAGTGCCGGCAACCAGAGGGTGCGGCTAGAAGTGCCCTCTGAGGCAGACGGGACGCTGCTGACCGGCCTCATGCCAGGCGTAGAATACGTGGTGACCGTCACTGCCGAGCGGGGCCGGGCAGTAAGCTACCCGGCTTCTGTCAGGGCCAACACAGGTATGGCTGGCCAAGGGTTAGGGAAGTTTCTGAGCATAGGAGCCACTTCCTAGGGAGTCCACATGTCCGGCTCACAGGCTGCTCTGAACGCACCGACAGGGTGTGTGGCAGTCCCAAAGCACCTGCTGGGGGGCCTTGCTGTGCACCAAGGGCTCTGCGGAGATGGAGTTCTCAGGTGCTTGGAGTACTGTAGGAAGGCTGTGGGCTGGAGTTTGGGAGGAGCTGCCTCATGCAAAGAAGCAGTAAATAGGAGATGCTGTCCGACCCACCCAGATGGGGAAGGTTCTGATCCAAACTTGGACACAGGGACAGCCCTTGAGCTCAGTCAGTGGTCAGATCTTGGAGAGATTGGAATTAGGCAGATGAGAGATCAGCACTCCTGTTGACTTTAGGATTGGGGATTGGGGGACTTAGGTCTCAGCAGTAATTTTCCACTAACCCTCAAGGTCTCTTAACAGATGCCTGGATCTTTCTTTTCTTTTCCTGTGACAGAGGGACGCCCACCTCGCTGTAGCTCGCAGTCTCTCCTCCCACTCCCCTTTCTCTCCTTCAGACACAGGGCCCCACCCGCTGGTTTCTTCTCTCTAGGGCACCAACAGTGGCGGGCTTGGAGGGCACGGGGTGAGGGAATCCTGGGACACTAACTCCTTTCTCTCGATTCTCTTTCCAGGTGGGGCTGGGGCACAGGAGGAGGCCTCTGGCTCCGGTGGGAGGGACGGTGGGAGGGACGGTGGGAGGAACTGCCGCGGGGAGGAGTGCAGGGATTGGTGGGGGGCTGCCACTGACCGGCTCTCCCCCTCCCCCTTTTTCCGCCCCGGCAGCACCAGGCCACTTCAGTCACCCGGAGGCGCACGCCCCAGCCCCGTCCCCCAGGCCCCGGCCCCGGCCGGTCCCGGCCCCGCGGCCCCCGCGCCCACCAGTCCCCCCTCGGCCCTCGCGGCCGGCGGAGGAGGGGGAGGCGGAGTCTCGGCCCGGGCCGAACCTACCCCAGCCCCCTCGGCGGGCGTGGGGCAACCTGACGGACGAGCTGGGCCGCTTCCGCGGCACCGCGCAGGACCTGGAGCGCCACCTGCGGGCTCACGGCTACCCACTGCGGGCCAACCAGACCTACACGTCGGTGGCGCGCCACATCCACGAATACCTGCAGCGGCGTCGCCTGGCGGCGGCCATCCCCACCAGCTCCCCCGCACCCCCGGCCCGTCGCTCCCACCCCGCCTCCAGCCCCGACTCGGGCACCTGGAAGCGGGACTCCAACCAGGGCACCTACGGCCTCTCGCCCGAAGGCGTCGACCGGGTGGCTGCTCCCCGCCACCCCAAGCCCGAGGTGCTGGGCAGTTCCGCCGACGGCGCACTACTCGTGTCCCTCGATGGGCTCCGCGGCTACTTCGAGCGCGTGGTGCTGCGCTGGCGGCCCCAGCCGCCCGCAGAGGGCCCCGGCGGGGAGCTGACCGTGCCGGGCACCACGCGCACCGTCAGTCTGCCAGATCTCAAGCCCGGTACCACCTACCACGTGGAGGTCCACGGGGTGCGGGCAGGGCAGACCTCCAAGTCCTACGCCTTCATCACAACCACAGGTAGTGTAGGTGGGGCCGCGGGACCACCCATCTCCTGCCCAGTCTCACCTGCCACTGGAGTCGGCATCCATGAGTTCCTCCCGCTGCCTCACTGCTCCGGCTGCCACCCCACCGCACGCTCTGTCTTCAAGCCCTACCTGGTCCAGGCTCCAAGAGAACCCCCGCAACAAAGCGCACTTTCTCACGTCCCTAGACGCCACCTCCACCCTCAGGGTCCTGGTGGATACCCAAGGTCAAGGAGACCTGTTCTTTGGGACTGTCTGATTTTCACTTGGGTTCCTAGGACACTTCTGCCAGGAATCCTGTTCTAGGCAACAGAAGGGGCATTTGGTGGGAGGGGCAGTGTCTGGAGCAGTTTGGGTCGGGTAGGGAGAGAAACCAGTGGTTCCCCACTCTGACTCACGGTGGTGAGAGCGGCTGAAGACTGTGGTCATGGTTACTGTTTTCCACAATTTGGCCCCAACCTCAAAGGGACACATCGGAGCTGCTTGGAGGTGGCCTTGAAGCCATTAGGCAGCATGTGTGTGTGAGAGGTGAAACCACTGCTTCTTGAGCTGCCTTTCCAACCTCCTGTCTCACTTCACACTTGTCTCTCCCACAGGAACGACGTCCTGGCTCAGGGAAGGGGCGCTCTGTGGCTGTCGTGGGGAGGGTTCTGGACCTCTTCTTCCCCCACAGGGCCCAGATGCCACCTGAGCTGGATGTCCATCCCCCCATCCCCTCTTCCCTCTCTTCTCACTACCTACTCTCTCTGTACCCTCCTCCCCTAACACCACCGTCTCCTCCTTTCTTCCAGGCTTGTCACTGCAGCACTATTGGAAGTCACGACCACCACCCAGTGGGGAAGGGGTTCCTGTGGGGAGGGACATGGTGGTCTGTCGGGGCTGGAGGTCACAGGAGCCTTGTGGGACGAGGGATGGCAGACTTTATTTCTTTTATTTATTACCTGCGGGCCTGTCTGTGCAGGACTGTGGTGCACGTTTGGGATGATGAGGTGACCCAGGGGGTGATCCAGGAGCAGAAAAGGGAGGGTCTGTAGGCTCTTAGAGGCTAGAGGGCAGAGCCTGGGGGCCAGGGTTTCCTTTCTGACTCTCATACTCCACTCTCCTGTTTTTCTCCCCCTGCCTCTTCCCAGGGTCCTCCCCCTCAGACCTCCTGGGGGCCACTGATGAGCCTCCTCCCTCAGGCCCTTCAACGACTCAAGGGGCTCAGGCCCCTGTCCTGCAGCAGCGACCCCAGGAGCTGGCAGAGTTGAGGGTGCTGGGCAGAGACAAGACAGGGCACCTCCGCGTGGCCTGGACTGCCCAGCCTGACACCTTTGCCCACTTCCAGCTGCGCCTACGGGTGCCTGAAGGGCCTAGGGCACATGAGGAACTACTGCCAGGGGATGCCCGTCAGGCTCTGCTGCCCTCACCCCCTCCTGGATCCCCCTATGAGCTGTCACTTCGTGGGGTGCCCTCTGGGGGCGAGCCCTCTGCTCCTCTCATCTACCAAGGCATTATGGGTACAACCTGGATTCTGCTCAAGACCAATGTCCTGAGGTTGGGGGAGGGGCTGGGCCATTAGGATTTCAGAGGTGGGGTGGAGATTGAAGGGCAGGGCTGGTGTTTGGGTCAGGGTGGTAGGAGAAACAAGGAGAGAAAAGGAGTTGAGGGTTCAGAGGCAAGAGGGATGGAGGGGGTCTTAGCACAATGGTAGGGTGGGCCAGGGAGGGGAGTACTCCAGGCAAAGTAGTAGATGAGAGGACAAAAGTCAAAGGATGGGACGAGGATTCAAGGAGAGAGGCTGTTGGCCCCCTGGCTCTCCGCTTACAGCTTTCTTTGTGCAGAATCGCCCTGCCCCCACTTCCTGGTTACTCCTCTGCCCCAGCCCGCCCACTATGTCTCTCAGGGTGGGTGTGGGGAGGCGTCTGGCCCTGAGGATCCTGACCCTCAGCCCTCTCCTCCCTTTCCCTTCTCCCAAGCCCCTGCCATCCCCTCCCTGGACAGGCTAGGACAGTGGCGCTGCCCCTCACCCTGCGAGCCCAGCCTGCAGTGGACAGCACCCCCTGGTCCCCTTAGCCAGCTCTCCCTGCAGCTCCAGATCAAGCTCACCACTGGGGAGAGGGCGGTAAGAGAGGGAGGAGGTCAGGTGGACCGAGGCGTCTTCAGACTGCTCTGAAACAGCAATGGCAAAGTTCTGAACTCTCAGGGAAAACCACAGGGGACCTGAAGCTCCCCCAGAGACCTTGGTGTGAAGAGGGACTGGGACCTTTGTGAGTGGGGAGGCAGTTATCGCAAGGGCAGAGCCAAAGCTCTCACTCCAGAGCAGAGACTGGGGAGAAATGCCCACCTTCTTAGAAAGGCTGGTCCCGGAGAACAGAGGGTGGGGAATGGAGGCTTCTGGGAAGGGAGCTGTCCAGGATGGAGTGAGCCAGTGGGCAGAGGAGAGGGAAGGAGCCTGGGGACAAGGCAGTGCTTGAGCCCACGTGCTTTGCTTTGCCCCACACCCCAGACAGGGATGGGGAGAAGCCTGGGCAGCCCTTGGCCCCGCCACACCTGGGCAAGCTGATGGTGACGGACATGACTTCCAACTCCCTGCTTCTGCACTGGACGGTCCCTGAGGGCGAGTTTGACTCCTTCGTGATCCAATACAAAGACAGGGACAGGCCCCAGGTGGTGCCTGTAGAGGGACCCCAGCGCTCAGCCCTCATCTCCAACCTGGACATCGGCCGCAAGTACAAATTCGTCCTGTACGGGCTCGTGGGCAAGAAGAGGCATGGCCCCCTGGTGGCTGAAGCCAAGATCTGTAAGTGAGAGGGGTCACACACACCCCTGCCTCTGCCCTCTGCACAGTCCTGAAGTGGGTCTGCCCAGTGCTTCGGCAAGTCCAGGAAGGCTCCCTGGAGAAGGTGGTGCCGGAGATGAATCCTGAAGGGAAAATTGTGGTGGTCAGGCAGGGAGGTTGAGGAGGGTAGAGCAAACAGAGGGAGAGTGAGGCAGGAGAGAGTGTGGCCCTGTAAGAGAATCAAAGCCTCTTTCCTCTGGGCGAGGGGCAGGGCACCTGGCAGCTGAGGGCACTGATCTCACTGGTCTCATGTGTCCGACTGAGTCACTTGGACCTCATCTGAGGACCCTAGGGAGCCGCCGAAGGGCTTTACGTGAGAGAGTGACATAATTCAATATTTATCTTACAAATAACACTGAGGCTGCTGCAGAGGATAGCTGGAGAGGGCAGTCCTATTCCCTGAGGCAAGGGGCAACGGATGTGAGGAGCAGTGCAGCGGGGGACACTTAGTTAAACATCTTTCGAGCATTCGTTAAGTGTCAGATGTGTTCAAGATGTTCTAAGTGTATCATCGCACTTCACCCTCATAAGCAGCCCTGTGAGGCATGCTCATGTCACAGGTGAGGAGAACTGAGGCGCAGAGAGGGCCAGGTCACTCAAGCAGAAAGTGACGGGGCCATAGGGTCATCCTGCTGCCCTCATGGGCCTGGAGAGCAGAGGAAAGGCCTGAAGAGGGGGTGTGGGTGTCCCAACAGGCAGAAGCCGGGGGGCAGGGAGAAGAGACATGGCCACTGGAACCCTGGAGATGGCTAACACTCAGGGCAAGAGCAGAGGAAGGGGTGCCTGCAGGGTGAATTGGGGAGAGGGATGCCAAAGTGAAGGGCGCGGTCAGACATGTCAGATTCCGTAAGAGTGAGTCAAGGCTACAGAGTGTCCACTGAACTTAGCAATGGCGAGGTCACCACTCACCCCGGTGAGAGCGGCTGGTGGAGGCTGGAGCTGGGTTGGGAGGGTGAGGTAGGTGAGGACATGACTACAAGCAGTGTAGACATCTCCTTCTGGAATTTGGGCTGGGACTAGAGAGCAGAGAGGGAGGGTGGAGGCTGGAGGGCGACGGAGCTGCGCGGAGGAGCTTGTGTAAATGCACGTGGCACAGCCCAGGGAGGGAGGGTAGGAAAGGAGGAAGTGGGGCCCAGAGCGCAGGTGTGGGGGGCTCTCCCACGTAAGAATGCGCCAAGGACCAAGCTTCCCTCTCTTGGAGAAGAAAGCAGCTAGTTTTTAGGCCTGGAAACAGTAGAGGCTGTCCTGGAAGACTTCCCTGGCCGTGGAGATGTGGAAGGGGCTGGCTGGGCTCCCGTCTCTCTGAAGCCCTTTCCAGGCTGCAGAACGAGTCAGGGCCACACTAGTCCATACAGTGCTTTTGTGCCCCATCAAAGAAAGCACCCCTTCTTCCAGGTGGGCATAGCCCTTTGCCAGGGTTGGCAAGCAGAGCACTGGCTGGATTTCAGCCCCTCAGTGCTCCCTCCACCATGCACCTTTTGTGTAGTGAACAGCCTGTACAACCTCACACGGCATCCCCAGGTGGGAGATGGGTTCCTTCTTATCCTTTGACCTGTGTCCCTCCCTTCTCTCTACCTGCTCTTTCTAGTGCCTCAGACGGATTCCAGCTCAGTGAGTCCACCTCGCCTGGGAAAGCTGTGGGTGACAGATCCCACCCCAGATTCGCTGCACCTCTCCTGGACTGTCCCTGAGGGCCAGTTTGACTCCTTCGTGGTCCAGTACAGGGACAGGGACGGACGGCCCCAGGTGGTGCCCGTGGAAGCCCCCGAGCGCTCGGTCATTGTCTCCCCGCTGGACCCTGACCACAAGTACAGATTCACTCTGTTTGGGATTGTCGACAAGAAGCGGCACGGCCCCCTCACGGCCGATGGTACCACTGGTGAGTAGCGGCCACCCAAGCCCCCATGTGACCCCTCCCAGTCTCCCGCACGCTTGCCCCCAGCCAGGAACCAGCTGGGGCCTCCCAGCGAGATGGCTGACTCCGAATCCTGGCCCTGCTTTTGGGCTCAGGGCCAGCCAGCCTCCCCCGCACTGCTGGGACCCTTTCATCCTGTTCAGCTGCTCCCCAAGGCCCAGAAGGTGTGTCATACCCTGGTTGCGCCAGATTTCTCAGAGTTCATCACTCGTGCTAGTTGCGTAGAGACTCCCACAGGTGTGACAACCTGTCCAAACCCCAGGCCCCAATCCTGGGGTTCTGCCAGCTCAGCCCTGCCTGGATCCTCTTATTTACAGCCCCAGAGAAGAGAGAGGAGCCCCGCCACCCAGAGTCCCCTGAGCAGCCCCTGCTGGGGGAGCTGACAGTGACTGGCAGCGCCCCAGACTCCCTGCGCCTGTCCTGGACGGTGGCCCAGGGCGCTTTTGACTCCTTCATGGTCCAGTACAAGGATGCGCAGGGGCGGGCCCAGGCAGTGCCCATCAGGGGGCATGAGAATGAGGTCACCATCCCCGGCCTGGAGTCTGACCGGAAGTATAAGATGAACCTCTACGGGCTTCATGGCAGGCAGCGCGTGGGGCCTGTGTCCGTGGTGGCCACCACAGGTGAGTCAGGGCTGCACGGGGCTCCCTCCCTGGCCAACCCACAGCCCTGTGAGCAGGACCTGACCAGGGATCCTTCACACTTCCCTCCACCTTCTCTTTCTCGGCTCCAGTTCTGCCAAACCTCCACAGTCTACTTCCCGACATCCCAGGACTTTGCATCCAGCCGCCAGCCCCTGACCAAACTTTCTTGGCCCTGCTTCTCCATCTCCAAGAACAGACCCCATTTCCCACATTCTGAGCACTGGGAATCTCCCCTTCGTCCCGGGCTGTCCTCCCTGTGGATGTCCTCAGCCCCTGTGTTCTTTCCCCGCGGTCTTTGCTGGCCTTCTTCCCCTGGCTCAGGTTGTGGTCATTTCTGCGCTTCTGTTGCCTGCTGCCCACACCCTCCCGCCATAGCTGCTCTGTTCAGAGCTGGCAAATCCAAGGGACATGAGCTCCATGTTTCCCCAGCCTCCTCCCAGCCCCCTGACTCCCTGACTCCCAGCCAGCTTGGAGCAGGGCAAAGGGCTCACTTTCAGCCCCCCTGCCCTGCATTCCTCCATGGGCCCAGCCTCCCCCATCCAGCACCATTTCCATGGCTGTGTGGCATCGCGGTTGGGAGCATGGGCTCTAGAGCCAACTGCCTGGATTTTAATCCTAGCTCTGGGATCTTGTGCAAGTTACTGAACCTCTCTGGGCCTCAGCTTTCTCATCTGTTAAATGGGGATGATGATGGTAACAGCTTCACAGAGTTGTTAGAATTAAATGAGTTAATATATATATGGCACCTAGAACAGTGCCTGGCACATCAAAACTGCCATTGAAGAGTGAGCTACTATTTCTCCCTGACCCTCTCGCTTCCCAGTATCCTTTTTCTCCCTCACCTCCCCACCTTCCCCATCCTTGCCTGGGTTATCATTCTTGCCTGCTGCCTCCTCAATCTCCTGTCTCCTTAGCAGTCCCCCATGGACCGTGGAGTGAGTCACAGAAGGGCTGGCTTCCCTGTGCCAGTCTCCCCGCCCCATGGAGCCTCAGCAAAGACCTAGCTGCTGCAGACGGTGGGCAGATGCCTCGGGGCTGTGACTCTAGCCCAGGCCGGGGAAGAGCACGGCCCTCCACAGCCCCCAGCGCCATCCGCAACATCTCCCCCGCCCACGCCCCGCTCCCGCTCTTGTCTGAAGTGGAGGGAGAGGCAGGGTTGCCCAGGGAAGCCTTAGCGGAGCACATCCCATTTCCTGTCCTGGTCAGTGGAGCTGAAAGGGAGGAACACAGTGGGAAGAAGCCTTACTGCCCCCTCGCTCTCCTGTGCTCAGCACTGTCCATGAACACAGCAGAGAAGCATCCCTCAGAGTTCCCTCTCTTCCCAGCTCGTCTCCTTTCTCAGACGTGAGAGGTGGCCCCCTACCCCCACAGTGCAGTCGTCCAGCACTGACGAGGTTTAGGGGCCTGTCTCAGCCCTGTCTCCTTTGATGAGTTACTGAATGGCTAATACAGAGGCTACAGGAACCCCTAAGCTGACAGCTTGAAGAGTATATTTGCCAAATGTACTTTATTGTCACGATTAACATCACCACAAAGCACATCACCTGTAAAGTCTAATCTCTTCTCTCAGCCCCGCAGGAAGGCATGGACGAGACCCTCAGCCCCACAGAACCCAGCACAGAGGCACCAGAGCCCCCCGAGGAGCCCCTCCTGGGGGAGCTGACGGTGATAGGATCCTCCCCGGACTCGCTGAGCCTCTCCTGGACCGTCCCCCAGGGCCACTTCAACTCTTTCACCGTCCAGTACAGAGACAGGGATGGGCAGCCCAAGGTGATGAGGGTGCCTGGGCACCAGGACGGGGTCACCATCTCGGGCCTGGAGCCAGACCACAAGTACAAGATGAACCTGTACGGCTTCCATGACAGCCAGCGTGTGGGCCCCGTCTCTGTCATCGGGGTGACAAGTGAGTGGATGGTGGAAGCCCCAGGGTGGGACCTCGTGGGAGGATCACCCTCTCTCAGGTGATGGGTGAGTGGGGTGCAGGAGGCCCCTCTACTCGAGGCTGAGCCATAGTGCCCTGTGTGCCTCCTCCAGGCTCCCTGAGGACCAGTGTGTCCCCCTGGGCAGGGAAGGGCCTCTGTGAGCCATGCTGGTGGCTGCCCTGGTCCCCCACAGCTGACCCTGGAGGCTCCAGGCATGTTTATGAGATGTCAGCTAAGCAGGACCACCCAGCCCCAAGGACGGGCTTCTCTGAACTGACTTCAGGGCCTGGAGCCGGGGCCAAGGCTTGGGAGGAGACCCAAGGACATCACCTGGGACCCTGCCTCACCCTCTCTGTGTCTCTCCTTCTCAGCTGCAGAGGAAGACACCCCCAGCCCCACAGAACCCAGCACAGAGGCCTCGGAGGCCCCCGAGGAGCCCCTCCTGGGGGAGCTGACGGTGACAGGATCCTCCCCGGACTCGCTGAGCCTCTCCTGGACCGTCCCCCAGGGCCACTTTGACTCCTTCACCATCCAGTACAAGGGCAGGGACGGGCCCCAGGTGGTGCGTGTCGGGGGCGAGGAGAGTGAGGTGACCGCTGGGGGCCTGGAGCCCGGGCGCAAGTACAAGATGCACCTGTACGGCCTGCACGGGGGGCGGCGTGTGGGCCCCGTGTCCACCGTGGGCGTGACCGGTGAGTGAGGCCGGGGGCTTGTTTGTTTTCGTCCCACCAGTGGCCCCCAGCCTCCCTGTGGCATTGCCCTCCATTGCCTTCCCCACCTGCCTGTGGAAGACCTAGAAAGAACAGCTCACGGGGGACTGGGCTACAACCAGCTGCATGACTTTGAGCAAGTCTTAAACTTTCTGTGCCTGTTTCCTCAGCTGTAAAATGGGGATAGTAACACCTACCTCACGGAACCGTTGTGAGATTAAATGAGTTAACAGACCTAAGAAAGGGTCTGGCAGCAAGTAAACATGCTGGCAATGTTTGCTGCTATGGTTACTACATTTGTCCTTAGCCTGGGGTCCCCTTTGGCTGGTTCAGCTTAAATATTCAGAATGTCCATGAGACGTTGCCCTCTGCACCAGTGCGGCTGGAAACTTTCTTTACTGCTCATCCAGTGAGTGGTTATAGCAAGGAAGAATGTCCCTTCCACCCGGGTACAGGGCCACTCAGCCACCACAGAGGACCAGCCTGGGCACCTACTCTCCAGAGCCCCAGCGTGAGGGGCCACATCACAGACAGGCCTCTGGGACCCTCCTGCTAATCTGCCCAGCTTGGCCCCAGCAAGGGGCATCTCTTTTCCCCTTTGTTCACTGAAACAAAGACACAGCTTTTTCAAAAGCAACTTTTAATATAAAGGGGAAGATTTTAAAAAGCAGAGAAACAGGTTTCCAGAGCATGGTTTCTGTACTTCTCAAAGGGACTTGGTTGGCTTAGTTTCCAGAAGCTTCCACTCCCGACTTCTTTTCTTTCTTTAGTCAGCACAGAGAGTAGGGAGAGGGGAAATCCTGAGGTCCTGTCCTGCAGGCCTGAAGTAGCAGGATGGAGGCTCATGCCAGGCCCAGAAAATGTGGCCGAGGTTTTTCCTGGAGCCACCCTCAGTCCGTCCATCTGTCCAGGGCAGCCACACTGGTCCCTGGGTAAGGATGGACAGTGTCGGGCACTGACTGAGGCGGTGCAGTAGAGGAAAACTGAATCTTGGAATCGGAGCAACTGAGTTCCGTTCCTGGCTTCTCAGCTCTTAGCTGTGCGATGGCGCTCATCGTCTGAGCAGGAAGGTGATAGGCAGCTGGAGCCCGCGGAGCTGACCCGGGGCCGGCCCCTGGCGCACAGCGCGTGGTGAACCACTGCTAGGAGAAGAACTAGCATGCAGCTTTAGAAACAGGGCTAACTTGGGAAAGGATTATGCCAAAGGCAGCATAGGGCCTGCGGTACTCATGGGTAGCTATCATTCCACCTTTCCCAGTTAAGCCAGACCACCAATGATAAGGCTTGATGGTGAGGGACAGTTTCTCTCTCTCATGGAAAGAAGTACAGAGACGCAGGAAACGGATGCTAAAGGAACCAGCAGAGCTAGAAGGCAAATGAAATGAAACACAACGCACGCGTGGCCTGGCACCTGTACCTGGGAGAAGCTCAGTACGTGATGGTTGTTCTGGCCCACCTTCAGCTGCCTGCATCCCTGCCCTCCCCACTCAGACTTATTGCTATCCTCCTGAGGCCTCAACTCCAGCCTGGCCACACCACACGGCTGGTGGGATCTTAGTTCCCCGGCCAGGGATTGAACCCGTGCCCCCTACAGTGGAAGCGTGGAGCCCTAACCACTGGACCACCAGGGAAGTCCCATGCCAGCCTGTTTTTTTTTTTTTTTTTTTGTGGTTCGTGGGCCTCTCACCATTGTGGCCTCTCCCGTAGCGGAGCATAGGCTCCAGATGCGCAGGCCCAGTGGCCACGGCTCACAGGCCCAGCCACTCCGCGGCATGTGGGATCCTCCCAGACCGGGTCACGAACCCGTGTCCCCTGCATCGGCAGGCGGACTCTCAACCACTGCGCAACCAGGGAAGCCCCCAGCCTGTTTTTAAAGCAGGTTTTATCAGTACAGAGCCTAGTCTTGTCCTCCCACAGGAGCCAGAGAAACAAGCTCTTGGGAACCCCACTCACCCAGCTACCCCTCTGCCAGTTGCCTCTTGGGACCACCTTCCAGGCTGGTCACTAATGAGCAGGGCTTCCCAGACTCAGCTCATTCTGGGGCAATGGGGACCAGCAGGTCCTGAGCTTGGCCTTTTCCAGACGTGCAGACCATTCATTCATTTAACAAACATTTGTGGAGCACCCACTGGGTGCCAGTGCTGGGGACACAGCAGCGAACAAGGCAAAGCTCCTGCTGAGAGCTCACATTCTGTCAGAGGGAGACAGGCACCAAATTGCACAAATATGTCAGTGAGACCGTATGTGACAGTGACAAGAGCTGGGGAGAAAAGCAAAGCCCAGTAGGTGAGATGGTGAGTGGGCGGGAAGCAGGCAGGAAAGGGCCTCCCTGAGAAAAGGACCTGCAGGAGGGAGAGGACAAGCCACGCAGGCCTCTGGGGAAGAGCATCCGGAGCAGAGGGAAGGTGCCTGAATGTCTGTGGACCAGTGAGGAGTGTTTTGGAATGGGGAGGGTGATGTGAGAGATAAACAGGTGGGGCCTTGGAGGTCATTGTAAGGACCTGTTTTTTTCTCTGAGTGAGATGGAAGCCATTGCGGGAACAGACTCTGACTAATGTGTTAACAGTGGGGAACAGAGCAAAGGGGATGAGGGTGGAGGAGGGAGGGGATTTAGGAGACTGTGCTATAGTCCAGTAAGAGCATGTGTGCTTAGAGATGGTGGCGGTGGAGTTGGGGAGGGGGAAGGGGGTCAGCTTCTGAAGGTAGTGCGGACAGGATTTCCTCGCAGGCCGGCCGAGGGGTGGAAGAGAGGACTCAGGGATGACTCGGAGAATGAAGCTGTGGTTTTGCTGAGGTGGGAAAGCTGGGGAGGGAGCAGGTGTGGCAGCAGCCCCTGAGCTCGGTTTTGGACTTGTTGAGTTTGAGACATCAGTTAGGCACCCAAGGAAGACGCTGAGCAAACACAAGTCTGGGGGCCAGCAGGGAGGTCTGGAAGGGAGGTCTTTGGAGCCAGAGATGCACAGATGGAACTTCAGCCACTTTCCCAGGATCTCAGTGGTGGCTGACACCTCTCCCCGCAAGCACAGCCCCGGATTCTGGCAGGGATTTAGTGAAGGGTTGTTGGCCAGACAGATGTTGCCAATCAGTGTAGTCTTACATCAGAACCACCCGGTGGGCACCACAAAAACAACACACATAATTACTACAAGGGGAAGAGGGGCTTTTCCTAACAGCCTCCCACCATCTCTATCTCAGCTCCACAACCAGAAGAGACTCCCGCAGCCACCGAGCCCCCCCGGGAGCCACGCCTCGGGGAGCTGACAGTGACAGATGTGACCCCCAGCTCCGTGGGCCTTGCATGGACAGTCCCTGAGGGCCAGTTTGACTCCTTCGTGGTCCAGTACAAGGACAGGGACGGGCAGCCCCAGGCGGTGCCTGTGGCCGCAGACCAGCGAGAGGCCACTGTCCCCGGCCTGGAGCCTGCACGCAAATACAAGATGAACTTGTACGGGCTACATGGTGGGCAGCGCATGGGCCCCCTCTCTGTGGTAGCCATGACTGGTGAGTGAGCGTGGGTAAAGGTAGATCCCATCCCTGGTTACCCGGGGCCACCCCCTCCCCTAGCCTCTCTCTCAGGTCCTGCCTCAGTGGCCCCTGCAGGTCCTCCCCAGTCTATTACCTGAGCCCTTGGCTCCTCTCCTGAGCTGGAACCTTCCCTACCCTCCAGTCTCCACCTCCACTCTGTCTCCTCCCCCAGGCAGGATTGTCTTCCTCCCATCTGACCTGAGTCTAGCCAAACGCTGTCTCTCTGACTGTCCACAGCTGCTTCCTTCCCTCTCTTTACAACCTGCTGTGACTTGGACCCAGCTACCACCTCCCCCTGCTGCCCTTTTCCATTGGGGTTAAAGAACACACATCCCTTGAATCTCTTCTCAGGGGCCCTCAGCCCCCTGGCCTGAGCTGTGTTCCCTTCTGGCCAAGCCAGAATCTCGCTCCCTCAGGGAAGCGGCCCTTGCTCGTGGCTCCCAGCCTCTCCCACCCCTCATGCTTCCTGGGCACAGGTTGCCACCAGTTTTGTGCTATGGTGTCTGGTGAGACCAGTAAACCCCTTTCAGAGCAATGTCTTAAAATCCATAAAGTAAAACACATAGGATTACAAAGGTAACCAATTCTATTGATTAACCAATTATCAAAAATATTTTAAAACTCGAATTTATGATTCAGTAATACAGGAACTTCATCATTAGTTCATTAAATAGCAAGACTTAGTGGCATGTTTAATAACCTACCCACATTTAGAAGCAGTGATGAGTGTAAAGAGTATTTTTTTTAATTTTTGAATTTTATTTTATCTTTTTATACAGCAGGTTCTTATTAGTTATCCAATTTATACATATTAGTGTATACATGTCAATCCCAATCTCCCAGTTCATCCCACCACCACCACCACCACCCCCGCCACTTTCCCCCCTTGGTGTCCATACATTTGTTCTCTACATCTGTGTCTCAACTTCTGCCCTGCAAACCGGTTCATCTGCACCATTTCTCTAGGTTCCACATATATGCGTTAATATACAATATTTGTTTTTCTCTTTCTGACTTACTTCACTCTGTATGACAGACTCTAGGTCCATCCACGTCTCCACAAATCACCCAATTTCGTTCTTTCTTACGGCTGAGTAATATTCCATTGTATATATGTACCACATCTTCTTTATCATTTGTTGATGGGCTTTTAGGCTGCTTCCATGACCTGGCTATTGTAAATAGTGCTGCAATGAACATTGGGGTGCATGTGTCTTTTTGAATTATGGTTTTCTCATATACTGGGTATATGCCCAGTAGTGGGATTTCTGGGTCATATGGTAATTCTATTTTTAGTTTTTTAAGGAACCTCCATACTGTTCTCCATAGTGGCTGTATCAGTTTACATTCTTACCAACAGTGCAAGAGGGTTCCCTTTTCTCCACACCCTTTCCAGCATTTGCTGTTTATAGATTTTCTGATGATGCCCATTCTAACTGGTGTGAGGTGATACCTCATTGTAGTTTTGACTTGCATTTCTCTAATAATTAGTGATGTTGAGCAGCTTTTCATGTGCTTCTTGGCCATCGGTATGTCTTCTTTGGAGAAATGTCTATTTAGGTCTTCTGCCCATTTTTGGACTGGGTTGTTTGTTTTTTTAATATTGAGCTGCATGAGCTGTTTATATATTTTGGAGATTAATCCTTTGTCCATTGATTCGTTTGCAAATATTTTCTCCCATTCTGAGGGTTGTCTTTTCGTCTTGTTTGTAGTTTTCTTTGCTTTGCAAAAGCTTTTAAGTTTCATTAGGTCCCATTTGTTTATTTTTGCTTTTATTTCCATTACTCTAGGAGGTGGATCAAAAAAGATCTTGCTGTGATTTATGTCAAAGAGTGTTTTCCTCTAAGAGTTTGATAGTGTCCAGTCTTACATTTAGGTCTCTAATCCATTTTGAGTTTATTTTTGTGTATGGTGTTAGGGAGTGTTCTAATTTCATTCTTTTACATGTAGCTGTCCAGTTTTCCCAGCACCACTTATTGAAGAGACTGTCTTTTCTCCATTTGATATCCTTGCCTCCTTTGTCATAGATTAGTTGACCATAGATGTGTGAGTTTACCTCTGGGCTTTCTATCCTGTTCCATTGATCTATATTTCTGTTTTTGTGCCAGTACCATATTGTCTTGATTACTGTAGCTTTGTAGTATCATCTGAAGTCAGGGAGTCTGATTCCTCCAGTTATGTTTTTTTCCCTCAAGACTGCTTTGGCTATTCAGGGTCTTTTGTGTTTCCATACAAATTTTAAGATTTTTTTGTTCTAGTTCTGTAAAAATGCCATTGGTAATTTGATAGGGATTTCACTGAATCTGTAGATTGCTTTGGTAGTATAGTCATTTTCACAATATTGATTCTTCCAATCCAATAACATGGTATATCTCTCCATCTGTTTGTATTATCTTTAATTTCTTTCATCAGTGTCTTATAATTTTCTGCATACAGGTCTTTTGTCTCCCTAGGTAGGTTTATTCCTAGGTGTTTTATTCTTTTTGTTACAGTGGTAAATGGGAGTATTTCCTTAATTTCTCTTTCAGATTTTTCATCATTAGTGTATAGGAATGCAAGAGATTTCTGTGCATTAATTTTATATCCTGCATCTTTACCAAATTCATTTATTAGCTCTAGTAGATTTCTGGTGGCATCTTTAGGATTCTCTATGTATAGTATCATGTCATCTGCAAACAGTGACAGTTTTACTTCTTCTTTTCCAATGTGTATTCCTTTTATGTCTTTTTCTTCTCTGATTGCCATGGCTAGGACTTCAAAAACTATGTTGAATAATAGTGGTGAGAGTGGACATCCTTGTCTTGTTCCTGATCTTAGAGGAAACGCTTTCAGTTTTTCACCATTGAGAATGATGTTTGCTGTGGGTTTGTCGTATATGGCCTTTATTATGTTGAGGTAGGTTACCTCTATGTCCACTTTCTGGAGAGTTTTTATCATAAATGGGTGTTGAATTTTGTCAAAAGCTTTTTCTGCATCTATTGAGATGATCATATGGTTTTTATTCTTCAGTTTGTTAATACAGTGTATCACATTGATTGATTTGCGTATATTGAAGAATCCTTGCATCCCTGGGATAAATCCCACTTGATCATGGTGTATGATCCTTTTAATGTGTTGTTGGATTCTGTTTGCTAGTATTTTGTTGAGGATTTTTGCATCTGTATTCATCAGTGATATTGGTCTGTAATTTTCTTTTTGTAGCATCTTTGTCTGGTTTTGGTATCAGGGTGATGGTGGCCTCATAGAATGAGTTTGGGAGTGTTCCTTCCTCTGCAACTTTTGGAAGAGTTTGAGAAGGATGGGTGTTAGCTCTTCTCTAAATGTTTGATAGAATTCACATGTGAAGCCATCTGGTCCTGGACTTTTGTTTGTTGTAAGATTTTTAATCACAGTTTCAATTTCATTACTTGTGATTGGTCAGTTCATATTTTCTATTTCTTCCTGGTTCAGTCTTGGAAGGTTATACCTTTCTAAGAATTTGTCCGTTTCTTCCAGGTTGTCCATTTTATTCCATAGAGTTGCTTATAGTAGTCTCTTAGGATGCTTTGTATTTCTGCAGTGTCTGTTGTAACTTCTCCTTTTTCGTTTCTAATTTTATTGATTTGAGTCCTCTCCCTCTTTTTCTTTTTTTTTAAATATTTAATTTTATTTATTTTTGACTGGGTTGGGTTTTTGTTGCTGCGCGCGGGCTTTCTCCAGTTGCCGTGAGCAGGGACTACTCTTGTTGCAGTGCACGGACTTCTCACTGTGGTGGATTCTCTTGTTGCGGAGCGTGGGCTCTAGGCATGCGGGCTTCAGTAGTTGTGGCACGCGGGCTCTAGAGCGCAGGCTCAGTAGTTGTGGTGCATGGGCTTAGTTGCTCCATGGCATGTGGGATCTTCCTGGACCAGGGATCAAACCCGTGTCCCCTGCATTGGCAGGCAGATTCTCAACCACTGTGCCACCAGGGAAGTCCCACCAGTCTATTCTGTATGTCCCTGATTCTGTTTCTGTTTCATAGATAAGTTCATTTGTGTCATATTTTATTTTGTTTTTTTTAACATCTTTATTGGAGTATAATTGTTTTACAATGGTATGTTAGTTTCTGCTTTATAACAAAGTGACACAGTTATACATATACATATGTTCCCATATCTTTTCCCTCTTGCATCTCCCTCCCTCCCACCCTCCCTATCCCACCCCTCTAGGTGGTCACAAACCACCTAGCTGATCTCCCTGTGCTATGCAGTTGTTTCCCACTAGCTATCTATTTTATGTTTGGTAGTGTATATATGTCCATGCCACTCTCTCACTTTGTCACAGTTTACCCTTCCCCCTCCCCATATCCTCAAGTCCCTTCTCTAGTAGGTTCCCTCTTTTTCTTGATGAGTCTGGCTAATGGTTTATCAATTTGTTTATCTTCTCAAAGAACCATCTTTTAGTTTTATTGATCTTTGCTATTGTTTTCTTTGTTTCTATTTCATTTATTTCTGCTCTGATCTTTATGATTTCTTTCCTTCTACTAACTTTGGGCTTTGTTTGTTCTTTCTCTAGTTCCTTTGGGTGTCAGGTTAGATTGTTTATTTGAGATTTTTCTTGTTTCTTGAGGTAGGCTTTTATTGCTACAAACTTCCCTCTTAGAACTGCTTTTGCTGCATCCCATAGGTTTTGGATAGTCATGTTTTCATTGTAATTTGTCTCTAGGTTTTTTTTGATTTCTTCTTTGATTTCCTCAGTGATCTCTTGGTTATTTAGTAACGTATTGTTTAGCCTCCATGTGTTTGTGTTTTTAAAATTTTTTTCCCTGTAATTGATTTCTAATCTCATAGTGTTGTGGTCAGAAAAAATGCTTGATATGGGGCTTCCCATATCAAGCATGAACCCGGGGCACCGGGTTCGTGCCCCAGTCTGGGAAGATCCCACATGCCGCGGAGCGGCTGGGCCTGTGAGCCATGGCCGCTGAGCCTGTGCGTCCGGAGCCTGTGCTCCGCAACGGCAGAGGCCACAGCAGTGAGAGGCCCGCAGGCCGCAAAAAAAAAAAAAAAAAAATGCTTGATATGATTTCAGTTTTCTTAAATTTACTGAGGCTTGATTTGTGACCCAAGATGTGATCTATACTGGAGAAGGTTCCGTGTGCACTTGAGAAGAAAGTGTAATCTGCTGTTTTTGGATGGAATGTCCTATAAATATCAATTAAATCTATCTGGTCTATTGTGCCATTTAAAGCTTGCGTTTCCTTATTAATTTTCTGTGTGGCTGATCTGTCCATTGGTGTAAGTGAGGTGTTAAAGTCCCCCACTATTATTGTGTTACTGTCGATTTCCTCTCTTACAGCTGTTAGCAGTTGCCTTATTGAGGTGCTCCTATGTTGGGTGCATATATATTTATAATTGTTATATCTTCTTCTTGGATTGATCCCTTGATCATTATGTAGTGTCCTTTGTTGTCTCTTGTAACATTCTTTATTTTAAAGTCTATTTTATCTGATATGAGTATTGCTACTCCAGCTTTCTTGTGATTTCCATTTGAATGGAGTATCTCTTTCCATCCCCTCACTTTCAGTCTGTATGTGTCCCTATGCCTGAAGTGGGTCTCTTGTAGACAGCATATATATGGGTCTTGTTTTTGTATCCATTCAGCAAGCCTGTGTCTTTTGGTTGGAGCATTTAATCCATTCACATGTAAGGTAATTATCGATATGTATGTTCCTATGACCATTTTCTTAATTGTTTTGGGTTTGTTTTTGTAGGTCCTTTTTTTCTCTTGTGTTTCCCACTTAGAGAAGTTCCTTTAGCATTTGTTGTAGAGCTGGTTTGGTGGTGCTGAATTCTCTTAGCTTTTGCTTGTCTGTAAAGCTTTTGATTTCTCCATCAAATCTGAATGAGATCCTTGCCGGGTAGAGTAATCTTTGTTGTAGGTTCTTCCCTTTCATCACTTTAAATATGTCATACCACCCCCATCTGGCTTGTAGAGTTTCTGCTGAGAAATCAGCTGTTAACCTTATGGGAGTTCCCTTGTATGTTGTTTGTCGTTTTTCCCTTGCTGCTTTCAATAATTTTTCTTTGTCTTTAGTTTTTGCCAATTTGATTACTATGTGTCTCCGCGTGTTTCTCCTTGGGTTTATCCTCTATGGGATTCTCTGCGCTTCCTGGACTTGGGTGGCTCTTTCCTTTCCCATGTTAGGGAAGTTTTTGACTATAATCTCTTCAAATATTTTCTTGGGTCCTTTCTCTCTCTCTTCTCCTTCTGGGACTCCTATAATGCAAATGTTGTTGCGTTTAATGTTGTCCCAGAGGTCTCTTAGTCTGTCTTCACTTCTTTTCATTCTTTTTTCTTTATTCTGTTCAGCAGCAGTGAATTCCACCATTCTGTCTTCCAGGTCACTTATCCTTTCTCTGCCTCAGTTATCCTGCTGTTGATTCCTTCTAGTGTAGTTTTCATTTCAGTTATTGTATTGCTCATCTCTGTTTGTTTGTTCTTTAATTCTTCTATGTCTTTGTTAAACATTTCGCGCATCTTCTCTATCTTTGCCTCCATTCTTTTCCCGAAATCCTGGATCATCTTCACTATCATTATTCTGAATTCTTTTTCTGGAAGGTTGCCTATCTCCACTTCATTTAGTTGTTTTTCTAGTGTTTTATCTTGTTCCTTCATCTGGTACATAGCCCTCTGCCTTTTCGTCTTGTCTATCTTTCTGTGAATGTGGTTTTTGTTCCACAGGCTGCAGGATTGTAGCTCTTCTTGCTTCTGCTATCTGCCCTCTGGTAGATGAGGCTATCTAAGAGGCTTGTGCAAGTTTCCTGATGGGAGGGACTGGTGGTGGGTAGAGCTGGGTGTTGCTCTGGTGGGCAGAGCTCAGTAAAACTTTAATCCACTTGTCTGCTGATGGGTGGGGCTGGGTTCCTTCCCTGTTGGTTGTTTGGCCTGAGGCGGCCCAGCACTGGAGCCTACCCGGCTCTTTGGTGGGGCTAATGGTGGACTCCGGGAAGGGTTATGCCAGGAAGTACTTCCCAGAACTTCTGCTGCCAGTGTCCTTGTCCTCATAATGAGCCACAGCCACCACCGGCCTCTGCAGGAGACCCTCCAACACTAGCAGGTAGGTCTGCTTCAGCCTCCTCTGGGTTCACTGCTCCTTCCCCTGGTTTCTGATGTGCACACTACTTTGTATGTGCCCTCCCAGAGTGGAGTCTCTGTTTCCCCAGTCCTGTCGAAGTCCTGCAATCAAATCCCACTAGCCTTCAAAGTTTGATTCTCTGGGAATTCCTCCTCCCATTGCCCGACCCCCAGTTTGGGAAGCCTGACGTGGGGCTCAGAACCTTCACTCCAGTAGGTGGACTTCTGTAGTATAAGTGTTCTCCAGTCTGTGAGTCACCCACCTAGCAGTTAATGGGATTTGATTTTATTGTGATTGCACCCCTCTACCATCTCACTGTGACTTCTCCTTTGTCTTTGGATGTGGGGTATCTTTTTTGGTGAGTTCCAGTGTCTTCCTGTCGATGATTGTTCAGCAGTTAGTTGTGACTCCAGTGCTCTTGCAAGAGGGAGTGAGCTCACGTCCTTCTACTCCGCCATCTTGAACCAATCTCTGTAAAGGGTATTTTGAAGTTTCTGCAGTAATTTTAAGGTGATGTGACAATCTCTGTGATTCCTATTGGTGACAGGGTTACAAGCACTGCTAGTACCACCGTGGTTGGTTTCCTATATTCATCATTGAAAGAAATGCTACATTTCACTTAGAGATCAGTGCAAAAGAGATGTAACTGTTTCCCATCTCAGTTCAAAGCCCTCTAAGGCCCTCGGAGCCCAGCCGCCCTGTGAGGGGGGATTTCTCCCGCCAGAGGTCTCAGCCATGTTCTTTGTCCTCCTGGATCCTAGCTCCGCTCTCTCCAGCCCCGGGCACAGAGCGCCCCCTTGAGCCACGTCTGCGGGAGCTGACAGTGACGGATGTGACCCCGGACTCCGTGGGCCTCTCCTGGACAGTCCCCGAGGGTGAATTCGACTCCTTCGTGGTCCAGTACAAGGACAGGGACAGGCAGCCCCAGGCGGTGCCTGTGGCTGCAGACCAGCGTGAGGTCACCATCGCCGGCCTGGAGCCCAACAGGAAGTACAAGTTCCTGCTCTTTGGGATCCAGGACGGGAAACACCACAGCCCAGTCTCTGTGGAGGCAAAGACAGGTGAGAGGGACCCCCACGAAGCTGAGCCTGAGGCCCCAGCCCTGCTGCCCTTCCTCACGCTGCCCTATCACCTTTCCCTTCTGCCGGGTCTCCGCTTCATCCACCTCTTCCGTTTTATTTGAAAAGCCACATTGCCTGCCCCGATCCCAGGCAGATGAGAACCAGGAAAATGGGGTCAGTTCCTGGATCAGTTTCCCCTGCTGACTTTTCCCCTCTTCTCATAATTCCTACTTCTGTTGAACGGGGGAGCCTCCTTCAGACCCCTTCCTGGAAGGTGGAACAGGAGAAACAGCAGGGCTAGATACGGGGGAGGGAGCCAGGAGCCGTTCCACCTCCCTTGGCCTGTGAGTCCTCAGCCCTGTGTAGCCATCACCTCCTGAGGAGTCTTCCCTCTGACTCTCACCCAGTTTCCCACCTACTGGCCCAGACACACTGGGTCCCATATCTGCCTCCCCAGAGGGACCCCTTTCCTCCTCTGCCCTCTTCCTGGAGCTTCAGAAACTGGGGACCAGAGGAGCCCAAGACTGGCTGCGCAGTCAGACCCAGTCAGGCCCAGCCCAGCTGTGCCCCTGTCTTGGGTTTTGGTCCAGGCACTCCCCTGCCCCTGGGGGCTCCCTGTTGCCAGAAAACTCTCACAATAACAATGCCGTCAGCATCCTTGCTGTCCAAGAAGTCAGAAGGCCAGCTCCTTCTCAGGCCTCGGGATGGCCTCTTGGGCAGATACCAGATCCTTCTCCCGTCTGAGCTCCCCTTCTTCTCCCCATACCCGCCTCACACATAGGCAGCCCCCACTCCTCCACTGGGTCCTATGAGGGTCACCTCCATCGTAATACCTTACCTCCCCACCAGCTGTCTGCCCCCATCAGGGATCCTGTTCCCCCTCTGACATCCCCAGGACCCTTGGATTTCCCCAGGGAGCAGTCAGATCACAAAGAGTGGGTTCCTTGGCCAAAGGAAATAAGCAGACCAAGCCTGTGATAAGCTGCACCCTGCTAAGGAAATAGTCTCTATTAGGTGCTTAGAGCCTGGACAGCAAGAGGAATAAGATAAACAGCTAGCTAGGGAATCTCTTCTCCCAGAGATGCCTCAGGACAGAAGACCCCTCCCTGCGCTGGTTAAGTGGACAGAGGCAGGGCCAGTTGGGGATGCTGGCAGGCATGGGAGGGTGATGGAAATATTGGGGGGAAGCACTGATCATTTGGGCAGTTCTGGGTTTTTCCATTCTCCAGTGGGAGGCAGTCAAGGAGTCGTTTTGGAAAAAAAAAAATAAACACAAGAACCTTTCCTCTCTGTCAGTTGCTCGAGGTGACACCAGCCCAGGAGCCCCACCCCGCCTCGGGGAGCTGTGGGTGACAGACCCCACCCCAGACTCACTGCGCCTCTCCTGGACAGTCCCCGAGGGCCACTTTGACTCCTTTGTGGTCCAGTTCAAGGACAGGGACGGGCCCCGGGTGGTGCCTGCAGAGGGCCACGAGCGCTCAGTCACCATCGGCCCTCTGGACGCCAGCCGCAAGTACAGATTCCTCCTCTACGGCCTCCTGGGCAAGAGGCGCCGTGGCCCCCTCACCGCCGAGGGCACCACAGGTGAGGGCAGCCCCTGCAGGGGGGCATCTCTGATCTGGAGGCCAGGGGAAGGTCCTGTGGTCAGTTACGGTGGCTGCCATCACGGTTGTTGTTTGGCTCCAGCTGTTGTGGCTGGGATCCAGTGCCCCCTCTCCTTGCACAAGCCGGAAGATCCAGCCCTGCAGGTTGCAGCCATCGCACAGCCCTGTCTTTAGACCTCTCAGTCCTTCCCTTCAGCATCACCCAGCCTTCAAGAAACAACGCAACCATTTCCTCTCTGTGTTTCCATCTCAGAGACCCGGAGAGCTGTGGACGAGGCTGGAACAAAACCACGTCTGGGGGAGGAGCTGCAGGTGACCAGCGTGACATCAGACTCCGTGGGCCTCTCGTGGACGGTCCCTGAGGGCCAGTTTGACTCCTTTGTGGTCCAGTATAAGGACAGAGATGGGCAACCCCAGGTGGTGCCCGTGGAGGGCAGCCTCAGGGAGGTCAGTGTCTCAGGCCTGGACCCTGCCCGCAGGTACAAGCTGCTGCTCTACGGGCTATACAAGGGCAAGCGTGTGGGTCCCATCTCCACCGTCGCCGTGACCGGTGAGTGCAGCTGGGGGGACACACTGTGCCTCCTGCCCGCCTGGCTCTCCTGGTCTGGTGGAGCCACACGAGTTCAGAGCTCCCTACACTCCTTCTTTTGGGGGAAGGGATCAGCTTCATAGAGGCATAATTTACATACAATAAAATTCACCCATGTTAAGCTCATAATTCAATGAAACCATTACCACAACAAACATAGAAAACATTGACTCCAGAAGTTTCCCTATGCTCATTTGCAGTCAGTTTCCCCACCCCCAGCTTCTGACAGTCACTAATTGCTTTCTATCATTATAGTTTTTCCTTTTTAAGCTTTTCCTTTAACAGAATCATACAGTGCACAGTTTTTTGTGTTTTTCTTACACTTAACATAATGCTTTTGAAATTCATCACTGCGTATCAGTAGTTGGTCCTTTTTATTACTGACCTCTTGTCTTCACCTCCTCCCCTCCTTCCATCCTCTTGGAGAGTCTTGGTGCAGTGACAAACCAGTCACCCATCTCTACCTGTCTCTCTGAACCAGCCCCCAGGGAAGAAGTCGAAGCTGAGACTGAGGCCCCCAGCCCTCCAGCATCTGAGCCCCGTCTGGGGGAGGTGACTGTGGAGGAGGGCACCCCACACACCCTGCATCTCTCCTGGACCGTGACTGAGGGAGAATTTGACTCCTTTGAGGTCCAGTACACAGACGAGGAGGGGAAACTCCAAGTACTCCATTTAGGGGGCAACCAGAATGACATCACCCTCTCTGGCCTGGAATCCGACCACAGATACCTGGTGAGCCTGTACGGTCTCCACGATGGGCAGCGTGTGGGTCCTGTGCACGTCGAGGCCCTGACAGGTGAGCAAAAGAACTCTGCCCACTCGGCTTCCTTCCAGGTGGCTGTGAGGGCCCGGAGGAGGGCAGAGTCCCCGTGGACACTGTGCCCGTCTCTCAGGTCCTTCTCTCTCCATGTCTGTGTTCAGCCCCAAATGAGGAAGAGAATGAACCTTCAGAATCTCCCTCTACCACCCCTGAGCCTCACGTCACGCCTCGCCTGGGGAAGCTGGCAGTGACAGACGCCACCCCCGAATCCCTGAGCCTCTCCTGGACCATTCCTGAGGGCCAGTTTGACCACTTCCTGATCCAGTACAAGAACGGGGACGGACAGCCCAAGGCTGTGAGGGTGCCAGGGTACGAGGACGAGGTTACCATCTCGGGCCTGGAGCCAGACCACAAGTACAAGATGAACCTGTACGGCTTCCATGACAGCCAGCGCATGGGCCCTGTCTCTGTCATCGGGGTGACAAGTGAGTGGACGGTGGAAGCCCTAGGGTGGGACCTCGTGGGAGGATCACCCTCTCTCAGGTGATGGGTGAGTGGGGTGCAGGAAGCCCCTCTACTCGAGGCTGAGCCATGGTGCCCTGTGTGCCTCCTCCAGGCTCCCTGAGGACCAGTGTGTCCCCCTGGGCAGGGAAGGGCCTCTGTGAGCCATGCTGGTGGCTGCCCTGGTCCCCCACAGCTGACCCCGGAGGCTCCAGGCATGTTTATGAGATGTCAGTTGAACAGGACCACCCAGCCCCAAGGACGGGCTTCTCTGAACTGACTTCAGGGCCCAGAGCCGGGGCCAAGGCTTGGGAGGAGACCTAAGGACATCACCTGGGACCCTGCCTCACCCTCTCTGTGTCTCTCCTTCTCAGCTGCAGAGGAAGACACCCCCAGCCCCACAGAACCCAGCACAGAGGCCTCGGAGGCCCCCGAGGAGCCCCTCCTGGGGGAGCTGACGGTGACAGGATCCTCCCCGGACTCGCTGAGCCTCTCCTGGACCGTCCCCCAGGGCCACTTCGACTCCTTCACCATCCAGTACAAGGGCAGGGACGGGCCCCAGGTGGTGCGTGTCGGGGGCGAGGAGAGTGAGGTGACCGCTGGGGGCCTGGAGCCCGGGCGCAAGTACAAGATGCACCTGTATGGCCTGCACGGGGGGCGGCGTGTGGGCCCCGTGTCCACCGTGGGCGTGACCGGTGAGTGAGGG